CGCCGTGACTGCCGAGGCGCGCCGCACGCCATCGTGCACAGCAAAAGGGGGTAACCCGGGGCCCCGTGACGACACCAGGTCAGACACATGCAGCTCTCTCGTGTCCACGAGAGACGACGCCCTTGCAAACCAACCTGTAGTGTGCCCGCGATGATGACAAAAGGTACGTGACAACAAAAGCGCACTGCGACGTCGAAGCATAGGATGGCACACGAACAAGCAGACAGACAGGTGAGGGGGAGGGGACAGTAAGCGAGAAAGAGAGAATTCGAGTAGAGGTGCTCGAAAGGGGCGATGCTGCTCCTGGCACCTTGGCTGGCTTCCTCCCTTAACACGACGTCCACCCCCCCCCTCCGAAGAACTACCGCGGCAGCTCTGCCTCCGCAAGCAGCGGCGAGGGCGGATGGATTCATCGCTCCAAGACAAGCCCGCTTGCACCTGGCCGCTGGGCCCGAGGGGAGGAGGGAAGACGTCGAGGGGCGAAAAGGAAAGGGGGCGGAGCAGGAAAGGCACTTCCGTGCGGTTCGCTGCTGTTCGCGTGACCATTATGCAGTCGGACCTGGGCCAGAAGAACACCCCTCAAGAACATGATATCCTCCGCTTGCCAAAGCAAACTGCAAGGGTACCCTCCCGAAAATGCACAAGAACGTCCAACAGACACGAAGAACACCAAGGTACCCTCCGTGAACCCACCTCGATTTTGTACATCGGTCAGACTGTACTAAGGCCACTGCGCCTGAGCCGACATGCTCTTGTAACTCAGAAAGGTACAGCCAGCGGGCGAAGCGGAACTTACAATTCGCGAGAAACCAGCGGGGACCCCAAGCAGCGCAATAGACATGATGCAAACGCAGTGGCACAATTAACTTGCCAATCTTGAAGTCGAAAAATCCACTGCGTGCGCAAACATGCCACCCACCAACCCGCAATTTGTTGGGAATGCTGAAATGGACAGCGACAAGAACGATGACGATGACACTAATGATGTTGATGACCACGGTGAAGACGAAGTCGACGACGACGACGACGTTGGCAACGACGACGACGACGGAGATGGTGATGATGACGATGATGATGATGGTGATGACGCTGGCGATGGTGACATCGCTTGTGTTGTTAGGATGATGTTGGGGTGCGCGCTCACAGAACTTTGAATAGGGTTGCGATATCTAGGACGACGATGGTGGCGACGGCAGTGATGATGACGAGGACGAGGGTGCTGATGATGATGGCTGTGACGCTGGCGATGACGATAACGAGTGCGCAGATCAGGATGGTGAGGAAGCGACTCCTTACACATCTGGATTTACAAACCATTGGCCGTTCGTAGGTGGCTGAACCTGTCTGCATCGACATGCTCAAAAACCAATCGTTTTGGAAGGACTCCAACAGGCGCGCGCGGAGACCCGCGCGTGTGGTCTGCACAAGTCTCTATTGACAGGGCTGCTACAACAAACTACCTTTTCCGTATGGTTTCAGCGGGTGCGCGCGCGGCATCCTCCCACCCGCAACTTGGCTTGTAAAAACCATGCGGCGGCAGTTGCGATGCCGCTTGGCAACGGTTGGCCCATCTCTGCGGCCGCGCTGGCGCGCGCAAGCTCGCGTGCAGGGCGGCCAGTCGGTTTGGTACAGTCGACGCGGCCGCGATGGCGCTTACGGATGGCAACGCCCCAGCGCGTGTCAAAGGCCGCGCTGGCGAGCGGGCACTTCGGTGCGGGTCGGTGGCTCGAGTGCGCGTGGTATCAGGATGACGCCGGCAATGGCGCAACGATGATGATAGTAGCGATGGTGGTGGCAGTGATGATGCTGATGATGATGATGATGATGATGATGATGATGATGATGATGATGATGATGATGATGATGATGATGATGATGATGATGATGATGATGATGATGACGATGGTGATGGTGATGGTATGATGATGGCGATGATGATGATGATGCCGATGTTGCTGCTGCTGATGATGACGATGATGATGGTGATGACGACGGCAAGGCCGATGACTCATCACCTTGGCAAGCTTTCTGTTGAAAACCATGTGGCTTACCATACGTGGATGAATAGATTTGTTTGAGGTGTTTGGTAAACCACTTGTTTTGCCAGGATTGCGACACGTTCGCGTGGCAGCGCGCACGTGGCCCGCATGGTAGAAATTGAAGCGGTGTCACGTACTGGGCGCATGTTAGATCAATGCGGATGCACCGTGTGGTGACATGAGAATGCGGGTTCTGGTTGAGATTGCTCAAACCATGTGACCGACGATCAAAAACGGGTCTTACGCGAGATGACGTAGCGATCTTACGCGGTGGCTTACACGGGCCGCCCGCGCGGCACGCCACATTTGAAGCAAGGGCGCTTACGCGCGACCTTACGCGGGCAGCTTACGCGCCAATGTCGGCGCAGATGACCCCGTTATTTGGCGTCGCTCATATGGTCTCCCGATGATGTCAAAAAACGCGCGCGGCCGAACATGTGCAAGGTCTGTCGTGCATCACTCAAGGGGCATGTGCGCGCGCGTGGTTGTTGCGTCAGATGTTGCAAGGGATTATTGCAAAATGATCGTTTGCGATGAAAAAGTGCGCGCGCATACGTTAGTTGACTGGGGTGAAGGGGGGGCGATACCCTTTCGGCTGGAATGCTATGGATTCCGATGGAGAGCGAACGACGACGCAGAATCAGACGTCATTTGCAATGTCGCAGGTGGTGCCGATGAGTCTGGGAGGGGGGGTAGGGTCTCTCCTCTTTCGAGAGGAAAATATGTGTGGCGCACGCTGTGGTGCAATTTCCGTGCTGTGAGCTGTGCAGCCGTCTCGGAACCATCTCGGGCCACTTGAGGACGCTCGTTGCCTATCTTGGCACTCTCTGGAGCCGTTCCCGAACCATGGAGGAGGTCTCTTGAGCTGTCTTCGGACGACCTTGCAGGCATCTGACACCGTCTTCGAGCCATATGAGGGCATCTTGGACTCCTCTACCTCCATTGTCATCGTCGTCGCTGCATACAGGGTCGGCGGCATCGGCCGTAAGGCCTTCGCAAGATGTGTGGCGCACGCTGTGTGGTGCAATTTCTGTGCTGCGAGCTGTGCCATGCAACCCTGTGTGCCCAAGCGAGTTCAACATCTCCATCTTATGAGGATATCTCGAGCGAGCGCTCTCCTTCTAAACATAAAAAGTCCTCCGTTGCAAGCAGAATCGGCAGCACCCCGGGTCGGCGGCATCGGCCGTAAGGCCTTCGCAATGTGTGCGGCGCACGCTGTGTGGTGCGATTTCCGTGCTGCGAGCTGTGCCGTGCAACCCTGCGTGCTACGATCCACAGCGGGCACTGTGCGTTCGCCCCCAGCCGCCCACCAGGCCAATCCTCGCCAGAACCCAGCCAGCGTTCTTGCCGTCGCTCGGACGTCCACTTCCCGTGCATTTTTCGGTTTCGTGCGTGCTTTCGTTGCTCGATGGTCCAGGATGGTCCTCGATGGTTCTCGCCGGAAAAAAATGCACACGTCCGAGCGATGCCAGGACAGTGGAGGCCAGTCCACGAGAAACCTTCCACCAGAAGCCCAACCCGGAGACCCCAGGACGCCCATCGGTTCTTGGTGTGGGAGCGTCACGCCTCCCACGGCAGAACCCTCGAAACCCAAGAAGCCCAGGGGCACCCAGGAGGCGAGCGAGGTGCTTCTTGGCGTGAGCCTCCCACGGTACGGCGGCGCCCTTTGCGAAACCCACGGCCACCGACCCGGCGCGAACCTCAACCGGAGCCAGCGCGCGGCGTGCCCACGGGGCGCCCGCGCGCGCCCACCTGGCGATAACTCGGCTGCACGCACTCTTTGCGTCGGCGGCTGGGCAGAGCCACTGCGCTGGCGGAAGAGCAAAAGTTGCACGCACAAATGCGCATCGATCCGCAGTCCCGGGGAGAAGGGAGAAGCGCCCGGCGACGGCGGGAGGAGGGAGGAGGAAGCCGGGCCCGCTCACGGCGGGGCCAGGGCACACGTTTGTTTTACGTCGGCGGCTGGGCAGAGTGCCTGCGCTGGCGGATGGGGCAAACGTAGGGCATACAATTGCTGATGGGCACACGCACACCTTTCACGTCGCAACGCGGCAGAATCAGTCCGCACGCGCGCTCGGCAGGCCGGGAGACGGCGTTGCTCGTGAGCCCGGCTCGGCAAACGCACACGGGGCGCCCACGAGGCGCCCCCGAACGAGATCGCGCCAAGCCCGGCGCTCACGGCCGCCTGCAAAGCGAAACCTCGGCAAAGCAGCTAATTCGCAAGGTAACAGAAGTAAGAACCCCTGGTGCAAGCACCGTCTGGCGAAGGGGAAGGAGGAGGGGCAGTAGCTGGACAAGGGTGGGCCCAGAGAAGGACAGCAAGCCATGCACCAAGTCACTGCTCAAGGTGCGGTGGTTCTGCTTGGTAGGAGGAGGAGGAGAAGGAGGAGGAGGAGGAGGGGCAGGAGGGGGAGGAGGAGGGGGAGGAGGCAAGCTAGGTGCGCTCGCGTCATATCTGACGTCCTACCCCTCCCTCCCATCCCTTACCATGGCGCTGATTTTCTCTATCCGCGGACGCGTGTCGTAGCGGACCTGTGGCTCCGCGCGCGCGTGCGTAGTGGGTGGTGGTGCGTGCGTGCGTGCGTGCGTGTGTGCGTGGTTGTGGTGGTGGTGGTGGGTGGTGGTGGTGGTGGTGGTGGTGGCTGGTGCTGGTGGTGGTGGTGGTGGTGGTGGTGGTGGTGGTGGTGGTGGTGGTGGTGGTGGTGGTGGTGGTGGTGGTGGTGGTGGTGGTGGTGGTGGTGGTGGTGGTGGTGGTGGTGGTGGTGGTGGTGGTGCGGCGCGGTGGTGGCGGGCGGATGGGCGCGCGAGAAAGAGGCCCGCGCTGGGGCGAGAACGCCATCCTGAACGACGGAGGCCAAACACCGATCCGAAAATGAGGCCCACGCTGCAGCGGGAGCACGATTCGAAACGATTCGGGAGCAGAAATGAGGCCGGCGCCTCAGCGAGAGCAGCATTTTGAAAAAAACGCAGGCGAAAACCCGTTTCCCGGGAAACCTGTGTGTAAAAAAACAGTCCGCGGGGGGGGGTCGGATATCTTCGGGACGCCATCAGGGGAAGTGGGAGAGTATTTTCATATTGTGTAATTGTAGAAGGAAGAGGAGGAGAAGGGGGCGGAGGAGGAGGAGGACAGGGGTAGTAAGGGAAGCGAGGGCAGCAGGGGCAGCAACAGGAGCCGCAGAAGCGGGGAGGGGGACAGGCAGACGGGCTTGAACGGCACCAAAATGCTGCTGGCCGCCACGCCCACCCAAGGCCCACTCGCCCACGTGCCTGGGAACACCCCCTGAAAGCAGGGGGGCGGGGGATGTCACCAGGTGGGCAAGAAGATACCGATACCGATGCTCACCGGACCTCTGCCAGGGTCCGTTCTGCCCAGGATTCCGAGGCGACTCCAGCCATGTCGACGGAGGCCCCTGGCGACAAAGGCGACTGGCGACGAAGAGGCGCAAGCGAGGGAAGGGTATCCGTATCGGCCTGTCCTGCTCCTCCAAATCAGGGAGGCAGGAGGGGGGGCAGTGGAAGGGAGAGGAGGAGGGGGGCTCGGGGCACACTCGCAGACTGCCTGCGACGGGGCGGTGCCTGGAACGTGGCCGCCAGGTGCTGCTCTAGATCCCACCGCCCGCTCGCCCTACATCCTCCGCCTCCCCCCTCCGCTCAACCCTCCCTCTTTCGTTCTTTTCTGCGATCTGTTGTGTGTGTCGTGCCCGATCCTATCTTGTCCCTCCTTCCCCCTCCTTCCCATGCAGACTCCCTCCCCAAGGGTATCCTCCCCCTCTTCCCCTCTTCCGCTTCTGCCCTCCCCGCCGCTCCTCCTCCTCCTCCTCCTCCTCCTCCTCCTCCTCCTCCTCCTCCTCATCCTCCTCATCCTCCACCTCCTCCTCCTCCTCCTCCTCCTCCTCTTCCTCATCCTCATCCTCCTCATTATACCCTTCCTTCTCCTCTGTCTCAACCTTTCCTCCCCTCCTTGCACCTACTGCAGTCTTCCGCCCTTCACGAGATCGGAAAAAAATGTCGTCGTTTATAACAAACTGAGGCCCGTCAGCTCCTTCCGCTCTCATCTCCTCCCCATGATAAACTGCCTCAGCACATCCCTCCTGGCCTCCTTCCTCTCCTTCCTCTCCTCCTCCCTTCCCCTGATTCCCCTCATCGCATCCTCTCCTTATGCCTTCCTTCCCTCCCTTCTCCACTCCTACCCCGCCTCCCCCTCCCCTCCTACATCAGGCTCACTCTACATTTCTCCCCGCCAGCTTGCCAAGGGGGCCTGGTGCGACCACCACGATTTGGTTCGACGGGGAAGACCAGGCATCAGAGGTTTCTGAATAATCTTCAGGTCATGAGCCCATCGCCTCCTCCTCCTCCTCTTCCGCTCCGTCGTTTTTTCCTCGGCATGCTCACCATGAGTTTGATTAAACCGATCACATGTCTGCCAGAGGTATGCTGCAAGAAACGCGGATGATATGAAATCTGCATTGGTATAGGACAAAGCCTCGCGAATCCCCTGCCCGCCAGAAAACATCCACATGAAATCCTGCCCCGAATCCCTGACGAATGACAGATATGTCTATATATAGAGAGAGATGTGTGTATGTGTGTGCGTGTCCGTGTCCGCCTCTCCTCGAGATGTCTCGGGGATCACAGTACGGACATCTTCCACCTGTTCGCAAGCGCTTCTCTAGCCTCCGCATACGCCACAGAGACCCCGCAGGCCTCCTCTCTGGACGGCCTCATGATGTGGTTGATTTGTGTATGTCATGGCGAGATGACCTGAAAGACCTCCTCAAGAGGCCTCCTACGACGGCGCCAAGAGGGCCTCAAGCCGGCCTCATAGGCCTCCAAGCGAACCCGAGCACCATCGGGAGCGCCCAGGATCGGCGGCGTTGGCCGGAGGCCACTACAGCATCGTGGCGACATGATCTTCAAACGATAACCGTCACAAATACACCGTTCTCGCTCCGATTCCGAAGCCGAGTCCTCCACTCTTCCCGTCCCCATGCTGCGGCGAGCGGCGCCTAGCGTTAGCTCTGAAGTGGGACGTGGTGGTGCTCCTGCAGCGCCCAGCGGCCGCGGCGGCCCCAGCCGATGGCCAGCAGCGCCGCGGCCAACAGGGCGGCGGCGCCCACGCACAGCGGCGCCGACGACCTCTCCCCGCCCCTCCGATGCGCTGAGGCACTGGCCCTATGAGGAGGCGCCCCAGGGGCGTGGAGCTCTCCCAGGGCGGGCGCGCTGGCCCTTTCGACGCCCACTGTGCATTGGAACAATCAAACGCAGGGTCGGCGTGGAAACAGCCACCCAGCTCAAAAACAAATGCCTGCGCGTCGCCGCAGAAGAAAACGACCGCGGCCGCCGCCGCCGCCTCAACGCGGCAAGCCCCGCTGTGCCGTCGGCGCCGTCGCCGCCGCTGTGGTCGCCGCTGCCGCGGCCGCTCCCGCCGCCGCCGCCGCCGCCGGCCGCCGCCCGCCGTCACCAGACATCCAACGTCTTGAGTTCTTCAACACTGGGACCACGGAAGTCCCGACCCTGTCCCCACGGTTGGCTTTTCACCCTGCATTGTGTTCTGATAGCCCTGGGGCCCAGCGAGGGCCCCGAAAGGCCGAGAACGGCAAAACAAAAAACGCATTGAATTCCTCGAGACGCTGGAGGTATGGGCATAACTCGGGACGATGCGGGTATCCCGCGGAACACTCTCGACGATGCGCAGCTGCCTGAAGGCATTCCGAGAGTGGAAAACCGCCGAACCGACGAAAACCGCCACAGATCGGAGAAGGCGAGGTGGAGGAGGAGGGGGGAGGAAGAGGAGGAAGAGGAGGAGGAGGAGGAGGAGAAGGAGGCGGAGGAGGCGGAGGAGGTGGAGGAGGAGAGGGTCAGGAGGACGAGGACGAGGAGGAGGAGGAGGAGGAGGAGAAGAAGGAGGAGGAGGAGGAGGAGGATGTGGTGGAGGAGGTGGAGGAGGAGGAGGAGGAGGACAAGGAAGTGGAGGAGTTTCAACAGGCGCAGCGGCAGGCGCGCGGGCACGGCTGGGCGACACGGGCGCGAGCCCGAAAGGAAGGAAGGGTGCCCGAGCACCTCCCGAAGGGAGTGCCTGAACGGCCTATTCGCCGTCGGAGCCATCGTCCAAGACGACCAGGTCTCCGACAAGGGCGTCGAGGACGAAGTCCGCGAACGGCCGTGGCAGAACCTGGCAGCTGGCCGAGGGCATGAGCGGCAGGCCAGTACGCGGGCGCTGCCCAGCCCGCGGGCGCCCAGACGGGGGCGCGCCTGCGCGGGGGGGGGGGGGGGGGGCGGCCCCAAGACAAAGGCTGCGCGAAGAGCTGGGCGCTCGCACTCGGGCGCCCGCACCTCGCGCAGAAACGGAAGGGGCCCACGACCCAGGCAACAAAGGCGTCCCCCTCCAGGGCACACACACACACACACACCACACACACACATCACCACCGCACCACCACACGCACGCACGCAGCACACACACACACCCACACACACACACACACACAACAACACACACACACGCACGCACGCACACACAACACCACACACACACACACCACACACACACACACCACACACACACACACACACACACACCACACACACACACACACACACAACCACACGCACACACGCACACTACGCACGCACGCACGCACGCACGCACGCACGCACGCACGCACGCACGCACGCACACACACACACACACACACACACACACACACACACACACACACACACACACACACACACACCGCGGGGAAGAAGGCGTCGCGCGCCCTCGCGACGCGGTAGCAGTGAGCGCATCAGAAGCCCTCGACGCACGGCACAGGCTCGCGGGAGCCGTCGGGCGGCGCCGCGTCCGCCGTCAGCTCGGGGATGCGCCCTCGCTGCTGCGCGCGCCGAAAGAGGCCGCTCCGCGGCGCATCCCGCTCGCTGGCCCGGGCCCACTGCCCGCGTGACCCGAGCCGGGGGCTTGGCCACGACAGTCACGAGACGGAAGGTGCGCTTCACGCGCTCCGTCGCCGCCTCGTCGGCAGGGTGGAGGGAAGCGCCCTCTCGAGCAGCGCGGTCAGCAAAGTGATTGCCCCAGCGCTTGACCATGCCTCGCTCGACGTCGCCGTCTTGGCCGCGGCGAGCATGGCCTTTTAACCTTGAGCCCCTCCACCCCACCTCCAAGGTCGCCCACCCGATCCAAAATTCGAGACCAGAGATCCGCTGCCGCGCACTGCGCGCCCGTCGCCTCGGCGCGCCCACGCGCAAAGCTCGAGACAACCCACGCACAGTCCGAATGGAGGCGGCATGGCCCCAGCGCCGCACGCGCCAAGTACATGAGGGGGGCGCAGGCATCCGCGAGGTCCGACGCCCGGCGCGGGCATGGCCTGGAAGCAAGCCGCACATTCAGGCGACCAGGGAGCCAGTGGCATCAACCTGGACCACAGACCAGCACACTCTAGCGCGTCGGGGGTCAACCTGCACTGGAGACACGCAGGGGCCGTCACCGAAGGCCTCGCCTTCGATGCTACCCTGCACAGGACGCGCGTGCCACTTGACGAGGAGGGAGGGGGCGGGGCCAGGCACAGAGGGCCGAGGATCGGGGACCAGGGCGCGCCTCCAGAGGACCCACGCAGAGCGAGCCTCGAGGTCGGCCCGAAGGAAGGGGGGGAGGTCGCACTCCCGCACGATGGCCCAGGTCGCCGAACACTGCCCAGACACCCTGGCCGAAAAAGGTCCCTGGGCAGGATTCGACGCCGCACAGGGGGCAGACCGGGCTGGTCGCAAGACCATGGCGACGCTTCCGAGCCTGATCCCAAATGCCGTTGGCCACGATCGCACGGAGGGTCGCCCGATGCCGCGAGGTCCAATCTGACCCCAGCGCCCCGCTGCACAGGCGGCGGAGGGGGGGATAGGGTCGGGAGGGAAGGGCGGCCATGTAGGCAGAGTTCTGCCGAGCTCGATCCAGCAGCCAATGCTCGGTGCTGAAGCGCGGGAGGCGGAGGGCGGCGCGAGGGCAAGTGGCCGCGAGGTCAACATTGAAGCTCTAGCTGGCAACTAATAGACAGACACCAGGACCGAGTCTCCACCCAAGACGTCTGCAGCAGGCCAGGGCAGCAGGAATCGGCCCACGAACCAGGGCCCAATCGCTTGCCAAGCCGGCGCGGGCCTCGCAAGCCGCGCCCGCGGCAAACAGAAATCGGGCGACCGCATCCCGAGGAATCCACGACTCCCAGACAGCCTGCGCCAGCATGTGGACAGGGCCCACTGCGCTCACACACGCTGGGCCGACCGACCTCGGCGCCGAGGGGGAAAGATGGAGGTCAAGGGCGAGCGAACGGCGAGCTCGCGAACGAGCAGGACCGAGCGCGCAGCACGTTGCATAGATTCGATGCCACTCCGCGCCCCACCAGTCACACAACCACCCCAAGTGCCACCAGGCGAGAGGACGAGCGAAACGAGCTGCTGCGTTTTGCCTCTCGCGGCTCGGATCACTCGAACGTGCGCTGCGCGCCGCGCCACCGCGGCCATCCCCTCGGCCCGAGCGGCGCCTCCTGGGCGTCGGCCGCAGCTGTGGCCCAAGCCCAGGGCCCTGGCGGAGTTGCGGCACTTGCTTCGCAAAGCCGCGCAGCACCGCGTGACCTCGCGGCTGAGTCGGCGTCGCTGGTCAGCACCACGCCCTCGCCGTCGTTGACCGCCAGGCCGTCCTCGAAGAGCCCGCTGCGCAGCTGGGCGCAGGCGTCGCTCACCTGCGCAGCCGCGCGCTTGGCCAGGCCCGTCTGGGCGAGCTGGATGTCGTCGACCACGCCGCTGACCGCCACGGCGCGGAGCGCGACGATGGCGTCGAGGCGCGGCACCAGGAACATCCCCATGCAGAGGTCGGCGGAGCCGCAGCCTGCCACCACGTCACACCGACGGGCGCAGGCGGGCACGGCCACGCCCCGAGAGCAGACGACGCGCGGCATGCCGTACAGCTGGAGGAGGAGACGCAGCAGCACGAAGTTGAAATTCATGGCCTTGGCGCGCTGGGCGAGCAGCGCCCACGGGATGTGCTCGCACGCCTTCGCGAGGTCCATGAGGACCGCGCACGCCGCCTGGCCGCGGTGGGACGCCACCTCCGCCGTCGCGGCCTGCACCCACACGCGGGTCTCCCAGCTCTGACCAGCTGTGCCGAAGACGCGGCAGCGGCGGCGCTGCGTGGCCCACTGCCAGGGGGCCGCAAGAGCCCAAGAAAGAGGCCGACGGCGCGGACGCCGCCATCGGGCTTGGGTAGGAGCACCGTCTGCATGGCCGCCAGCGCGCGCGGCGCGTGGCCCAGGGCCCGCATCAGGCGCCACACCTCAACGCAGGCCTCCACCACTGCGTCGGACAACAGCGCCACGTCCCGCGGGTGGAACGCGTCGCCGCCCACCCCCGTCACGCGCGGGAAGGCGCGGCCCACCTGGCGGAGCTCCTCGACGGTTGGCAGGGCGGGCGACGCGCCCAGCTCAGCAGGCCACGACACAGCCTCGAGCCCAGCGGTTTCGCCCCAGAGCACGCGCCACGGGCGGGCGGCGGCCTCGACGACGAGCTGCGCTGACTGGATGCCCGCAGTCGGCTGCCAGCGCGCCGCGGCCTGGGGCGCGGCCTCGCGCATCCAGCGGAAGCCCTTGCGCATGCCGTCGGCGGAGGTGGCGTCACGTGCGCAGTCCAGCCAGGGCTTATAGCGTCGGTAAGATGCACGCCCCTCCGCTGCCGTCGCCGCGCGGTGGAGGTCGGACAGCAGCTGCTCGGGATCCTCCGAGCCCACGTGCTGGAGGAGATGTACTAGGTTGCGCCAGGCCTGCCAGAATTACGGGTCAGCGCCAGCGACTGGTGGCTTGAAGCGGAAGAGCCGCGCCTGCAGGCACCGCGCGCAGGTCATGCTGCCAGCCCGCTGGAGGACGCGCCACTCTCGGACCGCTCCGCCAGCCAGCTCCAGGGTTGCTCGGAAGGGTCAGGCTTGGCAGAGAGCTGCCAGTGGGCGCGCTGGCGGCGCAGCTGCACCTGTGCCAAGCGGGCGCCCTCGCTCCTGCCGCGGTAGCGATTAGCCTCCTTCCCTTCCACGAGGCCGAAGTGCTGCGCCAGCTCGTCCTCGTAGCGATCGAAGGCGCGGCGGCAGGCCGCATCGAGGGCGCGCGCCGTGTCGACAGTCCTGAGGTCGTCGAGCGCTTCCCGCCAGGCGGGGGCAGGCAGCTGCGGCCCACCAGCGCCCGAGCGGTGTAGGGTCGCGGGCGTCGCAGGCGCGTGTCCAGCGCGCCTCGGGGCTGCAGGGCCAGGCGGAGGGCGATCGCCCGATGCGTGCGCACTGGGAAAACTCGCAGCGTCGCACCCCCTGCACCGCCGAGTCCTGGTCGACGCAGAAGTAGCCAAGCTCCCTAGCAGAGGTGGGCGTCACGCAGGCGGCCTGGCCAGAGCAGGCGAGCCTCGCGCCGGCAGCAGCTGCGCCTCTTCCAACACAGCGGAAACCATGTTCAACCCGGCGCCCACGACGAAGGGCCGTTGCATAGCCCTGATCACCGAGCCCAAGTTCGGAGGAGCAGGAGGAGGAGGAAGTGAAGGAGAAGGAGGAGGAGGAGGAGGAGGTGGAGGTGGAGGAAGTGGAGTAGGAGGAGAAAGTGAGGAGTAGGAGGAGGAGGAGGAGGAGGAGGAGGTGGAGTCGGTACAGGGAGAAGGAGGGGAGGATGAGGAGGAAGGAGGAGGAGGAGGAGGAAGAGGCCCAGCGCGCCGCCGCCCCCCCCCCCCCCCCCCCTGGAGAACCGCAGTGGCGCCCCTGGCAGCGCCACCGCCTGCGCCCCGCCGCCGTCCGCGGGCCGCCGCCCCGGCGGCGCGGCCTCGAAGAGCCCGTGGAGGCTCGGGCTGCAGCCGCCTGGCCGGGTGGAGTCTCGGTGGCCCACCCACCACAGGGCGGTACGCTATGGAGCGCGCCCCTCCCTCCTCCTCCTCCTCCTCGCTCCTCCGCCTCCTCCTTCCTCCTCCTCCTCCTCCTCCTCCTCCTCCTCTCCTCCTCCTCCTCCTCCTCCCTCCTCCTCCTCCTCCTCCTCCTCCTCCTCCTCCTCCTCCTCTCCTCCTCCTCTCCTCCTCCTCCTCCTTCCTCCTCCTCCTCCTCCTCCTTCCTCCTCCTCCTCCTCCTCCTCCTCTCCTCCCCTCCTCCTCCTCCTCCTCCTCCTCCTCCTCCTCCTCCTCCTCCTCCTCCTCCTCCTCCCCCTCCCCCTCCCCCTCCCCCTCCCCCTCCCCCTCCCCCTCCTCCTCCTCCTCCTCCTGCCCTCGCTCCTCCTCCGTCCTCCTTCCCCTCCTCCTCCTCCTCCTCCTCCTCCTCCCCTCCTCCTCCTCCTCCTCCTCCTCCTCCTCCTCCTCCTCCTCCTCCTCCTCCTCCTCCTCCTCCTCCTCCTCCTCCTCCTCCTGTGGCGACCACACCGCGCGGCACCGGGCGGTGTCTCGGTGGGGCGGCGGGGTCGCCACTGCAGCCGATGCGACACATCCTGCGCGGACCTCCGTGGCTGCTTTCTGCTCATATCCCCGCCTGCCCCCCTTGAGGAATCGGTGCGCCAGGAAAAAGCGCTCTCCCCCATCGGCTGCCTTCTCCTGCCCTGCCTCCTCCCCCTCCTCCTCCTCCTCCACCTCCCCTCTGTGGCCCCTTTTCTGTCCGCTGTGTTGAGCTTGGTACGGCCAGACCTAGGATTAAGTCGGGCCTGTGCTCCTACAGGGGGACTTTGGACGAAAAAAAAAAGTCAAAACAATGCACCAAAATGGTATATTATATGTGATATATAACAACAATAATACTACCTTTCTTTATATATATATAAATACTTATATACATACATTTATATACACATACGTATATATAGTAAATAAAATAATAGTAAAAAATAAAGCAACAAGTACTATTTTTACTATTTTTGAATATTCCCGCTGTAGAGGGACAGGCCCGACTTACACCTAGGACAGAAGAACATCGTTCAAGAGCATGGGACCCTCCGCTGGCCCAGGCTGAGGAGCATTCGAGAGTGCCCTCCCCCAGGATGCACGAGAGCATCCAACAAGCACGAAGAACATTAGGGTTGTGGATGCCACGACAATAGACACCCTAACAGCTTTATCATTGAGCTTAAAAATGTGTTTGACATGTCGGAAAATGTTCTAAACATGGTTTGAGCATGTTTTACATGTTTTAAAACATGCTTAAGGCATGTCCTAGACATCTGGAAATTATTTGGCAACATGCTGCCTCTCCATTGATCGTCCTCCACAACATTAGGGCACCCACCTCGCTCTTATACCTCGGTCCGACTGTAGGGCACTGGGGTCCCCTGGTGGCGCCTCTGGCGCCGCCCCCGGCGCGCGCGCCAGGGAGGGGGGGGTCTATCGCCGATGCGAGAAACCCGCGCGGACCTCCGGGCTTTCATCTTCGTGTCATTGTTTGCTCCCCGACGCGCGCGGCTGTGGGCCTTGAGCCGTTATCCGAGGATGTCTCGAGCGGCTGGGGCCTCCGTGGCCCCGAAACCGTGCGGCGACAGGCCGCGCGGTGAAGTCGCTGGGGGTTCTGAGATCTCCGCGCGGTCCGCCGCCACACGGTTTGGGGGGCCCCGAAGATCGCGGGCCGCCGCCGCCGCCGCCAGAGTCGCCGCCGCCGCCGCCGCCGAGGCCGCCCGCCGTCGGCCTCGCCGCCGCCGCCGGCAGGCCTCAGCTGGATCGAATCGCAGACGGGCCGGCGAAACTGGTCGCCGCGGCTGGCTATGGCTGGCCCTGGCCGATGCCGGCAAGTCGAGCCGACACGAATCGAATCGGAACCGCGGGCCCAGAGCCCGCGAGTCGAACAGCCTGGAATCGGAGCGCAGGCGGCCCTGCCGCCGCCCCCGCTGCCAGCCAAAGAGATCGGGGCGGTCGGCTGTTTGCGCCGCCCTTCGGGGGCGTCCAAGAGGGGGGCATCCAAAAGGGGGGTTCGCAAGTCATGGCCTGGGGCATGCGCGCGGCCCAGGGGGGTCCAGGGGACGCGCAGTCGGGACTGGTCGGAGAGGACACGCGGGAGGACACGAGACCCCTCCGAGGGCCACGTTGCCATGGGAAGGTAGACGGCAGGGGCCGCGAAGCACAGGAAGCAAGGGCAACGCTTGATTTGGCAGGGTCGGCCTACTAGTCGACCTCGCCTGCAGTCATGACTCCCCTCTTGTCGGGGATGGACAGACCCTGGTTTAGTGAAAACGACCTGAGGCCCAAACCTGGCGGGCGCAAGCCTGGAAAATAACGGCCACGGCGCCATCTCGAGAACCGAAAACGGACAATTCATCAATCGACGTGTCACTGTTGGGGGTTCTGTCCACTTCCGATCTTGGCCGCCCCCGAACGCTGGGCCTCTGGAGGCCAGGCATCGGGCCCTGGGGCCGTGCAGTGCACGCCAGCCCTGCGTGCGGCAGCGCGGCACGCACGGGAGGCGGTGGGGCGGCAAGGGGTGGGTGTCAGACGTGCCGCGGGCGCCTGGCCTGCCCCCTCCTCTCCCCCCCCCTCCTCCTCCTCGTCCTCGTCCTCCTCCTCCTCCTCCTCCTCCTCCTCTTCTTATTTTTCTTATTATTACTATTATTATGATTAGCACTACTAGTAGCAATAGTACTAATATCAATAGTCATAGTAGCATTGTTGGTATTCCTATTATTATTTGTACTAGTACTATTATTATTGTTGTTATTATTATTGGTATTAGTATTACTACTAGTATTAATAGTATTACTACTACTATTATTATTACTACTATTATTATTAGTACTCATATTGTTATTAGTATTATCATTATTGTCATTACGAGTACTATACTCATTAGTGTTATTATTGTTGTTACTATTACGAGTGGGATTATCACTATTTGTATTGTTATTGCTATGACTATTAGTGTTAATAGTATTAGCAGTGTTGATAATAGTATTAGTAGTACTATTATTACTACTAGTATTAGTCGTATTACTAGTAGTACGATTAGTATGATTAGTGTTGCGATTAGTATTAGTATTATCATTAGTCGTAGTAATAGTATTACTATTACCATTACTATTAGTATTATTATTGGTGTTCCTTCTTCTGATCCTTCTTCATAGTATTATTATCGTTCCGTTCCATAACATTATGAATGTTGTGATTAGTGGTAGTATTCTTAGTAGTATTAGCACTATTCTTATCGTTATCAGTATGATGACTATTCTTCGTATCAGTATCATCAGTATTAGTATCATCAGTAGTTGCCTCATTCGTCTTCGCATTAGCCTTATTATTCTTAGTATTGTGATTACTCTGAGTAACATAATTATTAGTAGTAGTCTTCTTCTATTATTCGAAAATGCATTATCCATATTCGTATTGTTAGTATTGTTATTATTAGTGGCCCTATTCCTCCTCCTCCTCATCGTCCTCGTCCTCTTCATACTAATCCTCATCCTTCTCATCTTCATCATCATCATCACAATCATCAGCATCATCATCATCATCATCAGCAGCAGCATCATCATCATAATCATCATCATCATCATCATCATCATCATCATCATCATCATCATCAGCATAATCACCATCATCATCATCATCAGCATCAGCATAAGCATCAGCATCATCATCATCATCAGCGACATCATCAGCATCATCAGCATCATCAGCATCATCATCAGCATCAGCATCATCATCAGCATCATCATCATCAGCATCAGCATCATCAGCAGCATCCCATCAGCAGCACCATCATCACACCATCATCATCATCTAACCATCAGCCATCATCACAGCATTATCATCATGCCGCCCCCCTCCTCCTCCTCCTCCGTCCTCCACCTCCTCCTCCTCCTCCTACTCCTACTCCTACCCTTCCTCCTCATCCTCCTCCTCCTCCACCTCCGCCTCCTCCTCCTCCAGTTCATCGTCCTACTCCTTCTTCTCCTCCCTCCTCCTCCTCCTCTTCCTCATCCTCCCCCTCCTCCAACTCGCCCTCCTCCTCCTCCTCCTCCTCCTCCTCCTCCTCCTCCTCCTCCTCCCCTTCCTCCTCCTCCTCCTCCTCCTCCTCCTCCTCCTCCTCCTCCTCCTCCTCCTCCTCCTCATCCGCATCATCATCCTTGTCCTCCTCCTCCGCCTCCTTCTCCCCCGCCTCCTCCCCCTCCTCTCACCTCCTCCTCCTCCTCCTCCTCCTCCTCCTCCTCCTCCTCTCCTCATTCTTCCTCCTCCTCCACTTCCTCCATCCTCCTCCTCCTCCTCCTCCTCCTCTCCTCCTCCACTTCTCATCCTCCGTCCCATCTCCTCCTCCTCCTCCTCATCCTCCCCCTCCTCCTCCTCCTCCTCTTCCTCCTCCTCCCACGGACACACTATCCAGAAGGTCCGATGTCTTGATTTGTTCATCACAAGGTCCCCAGATGTCTCGACCCACTCCCCAGGACTGGCGGTTCATCCCGCGTCGGTTCTGTGTTCCCAGCCATCCTGTGGTGTTTGGCCTTCGTTTTATAGAGGCAACTCCCCCTGTCCGCCCTCCTCCCGCTGCCCTCATATCGCCGTCCTCTGAGGTTCCCCGCCCACTTCGGCACACCGTCAAACGCTCCGTGGCCCCATAGGGAGCTCCACCTGAGGCCCCAGTGGCTTCGCTCACATACGGTTCCCCGCCCACTTCGGCACACCCCTCACACGCTCCGTGGCCCCACGGGGAGCTCCACCTGAAGCCCCAGTGGCTGCGCTCGCATGCGACTCCCCGCACATTTCGGCACTCCCCTGACACGCTTCGTGGCCCCATCGGAAGCTCCACCGAAGGCCCCAGTGGCTGCGCTCGCATGCGGCTCCCCGCCCATTTCGGCACACCCCTTACACGCTTCGTGGCCCCATCGGAAGCTCCACCGAAGGCCCCAGTGACAGTTTCCACATGCGGCCCCCCGCCCATTCCAGCACACCTTTCACACGTTTCACAGCCCCCGTGAGAGCTCTACCTAATGCCCCAGTGGCCGTCCTCGAGTTGGGCTCTCCGCCCGTTTCTGCACACCCCTGACGCGTTTCGTGGCCCTATACGGAGCTAGTTCCACCTATCACCTGATGCCCCAGTGGCCGTCCTCGCATGCGGGCCCCACCCATTTCGGCACACCCCTCAAACGTTCGTGGCCCCATAGTGAGCTCCACCGAAGGCCCCAGTGGCAGGATTCGCGTGCGGTTCCCCGCCCATCGCGGCACACCCCTCACATGTTTTTGTTTCTGTTCTGGCAAATGCCCACCCCATCAGAGGTCTGATTTGCACTCGGCATGTCAAACACGAAGTTGGACAGTCGGCAAAATACTTGTGCGAAAGCTTCACCGACAATAAGAAGGGGCGCGACTACTGTGCACGTTGCACACAGATCGCTGACATGCTTACAACGCCGGCCCTACGAGGCACGGCTTGAGTGCTAACCAGCCGCTTGCCCAGAGCAAGCTGGCCGACTCGAAAAAGGTACGCCAAAATAGAGCGCTCGAAATGAACACGAAAATGAATTACTAATAAAACCTTTAATCAAATACGCATGACCAACAGGATACGCGAAACGGTTGCATCATCTAATGGATCTTGGAACGATCAGCTCAACTCCTTCTTCTGCCAATTGAAGCTGGCCGCCTGAACGGAGGACTCGCCCGTGTAACCGAGCTTCTCCTTCCAGCCCGGGTAGATCTGGTCCGCATCCTTCTGGAACGTCAAGAACGCGCCCTTGAGCTCCTCGTGCGTCTTCGCGTACTCGACGACGCCGTCCGACAGGCTCACGTCGCCGTAGGTGCCTGCCTTCCACAACTTCCACGACTCCTCACCCTGGGCGCACGAGATCGCGCCCTGCTTCGGCCCGTCCTTGTGCCCGAAGGCCCCGCCGCCGGCCGTCAGGATAACGTTCGAGTGGCCCAGGTTCTCGAAGAACGCAGGCAGCCGCAAGGCGTTCATGCCGCCCGAGATGATCGGGGTGGTCTGCTTCATGCCCTCCCACTCCTGGCGGTAGTAGGGGCCATCGGCGACGTCATCTTGCAGCATGAAGCCGATGTTCTTGTCCGAAGCGTCGCCCTCCATCTTGCCAAAGCTCATCGTGCCCGTGTGGATGCCGCTGGCACCGATGACGCGCGACAACTTGGTGTGCACGAAGGCGGTGTACCCGCGCTGCGTCTGCGGGCTGGTCACTGCGCCGTGGCCAGCGCGGTGGTAGTGCAGGAATTGCTTCGGGAAATTGCGGCGCGCAACGGTCACCGCAGTGCCGCCAGCCACGTAGCCGTCGACCAAGAAGGCGCAATTCTCCGCCATCGGGCCCATCTGGTTCAAGATGTACTTGGCACGTGCGATCATCTCGTTCGGGTCATCCGCCGTAATGTTGGCGGAGAACAACTTGCCCTGGCCCGTTTCCTCCTGGGCCGCGCGCATGGCCTTCACGACTTCGGGGATGCATTCGTTCATCTGGCAGAACGTCTGGTTGCCCTGCGGCTCATCGTTCTTGATGAAGTCGCCGCCCTGCCAGAAGCCATAGCACGCCTGGCCGAAGGGCTTCGGCTGCAAGCCGAGCTTGGGCTTAATAATGGTGCCGACCACCAGGCCACCGCCGACCGTGCCGCGGCCCAGGATGCGCCACATGTCGATCACGCAGCACGACGGCCCGTCGAACAGGCGCAGGTACTGCGGCGGAAAATAAATGTCGTAGATCTTGCCGTAGTCGACGTCACCCATTCCCTGGTTGTTCCCGATGCTCAAAGTCAACACGGAACACATCATGGCGCGGCCATCAGTGATGTTGCGATCGAACAAGGCCGTCGGATAGGCGATCTTCATCTCCTCGTTCTCCGGATCGATGTAGTACACGAGAGCATCCACCGTTTTAGTGAAGTCATCGGTGGTGCACACGTTCACGTTCGTGCCTGTAGAGGACTCCGCCGCGAAGTGCGCCGCGGTGGCCAGGTAGTCGTAGCCAGCCTTGGGCTTCATGATGTAGGCCACCAGCACGTGCTGGCCGTTCTTGATCAGGTCCTCCTCCGTCAACGAGAGGTCCGCGTAGCGGCTCGACTGGTCCAGGGCCCGGCGGGTCACAGAGCTTGCTGTGCGAGCCTTGCTGGCGCCAACGAACGCCGCGGCCAACTCCTTCTTCTGCCAATTGAAGCTGGCTGCCTGGACGGAGGACTCGCCCGTGTAGCCGAGCTTCTCCTTCCAGCCCGGGTAGATCTGGTCCGCATCCTTCTGGAACGTCAAGAACGCGCCCTTGAGCTCCTCGTGCGTCTTCGCGTACTCGACGACGCCGTCCGACAGGCTCACGTCGCCGTAGGTGCCTGCCTTCCACAACTTCCACGACTCCTCGCCCTGGGCGCACGAGATCGCGCCCTGCTTCGGCCCGTCCTTGTGACCGAAGGCCCCCCCGCCGGCCGTTAGGATAACGTTCGAGTGGCCCAGGTTCTCGAAGAACGCAGGCAGCCGCAAGGCGTTCATGCCACCCGAGATGATCGGGGTGGTCTGCTTCATGCCCTCCCACTCCTGGCGGTAGTAGGGGCCGTCGGCGACGTCGTCTTGCAGCATGAAGCCGATGTTCTTGTCCGAAGCGTCACCCTCCATCTTGCCAAAGCTCATCGTACCCGTGTGGATGCCGCTGGCACCGATGACGCGCGATAACTTGGTGTGCACGAATGCAGTGTACCCGCGCTGCGTCTGCGGGCTGGTCACTGCGCCGTGGCCGGCGCGGTGGTAGTGCAGGAATTGCTTCGGGAAATTGCGGCGCGCAACGGTCACCGCAGTGCCGCCAGCCACGTAGCCGTCGACCAAGAAGGCGCAATTCTCCGCCATCGGGCCCATCTGGTTCAAGATGTACTTGGCACGGGCGATCATCTCGTTCGGGTCATCCGCCGTAATGTTGGCGGAAAACAACTTGCCCTGGCCCGTTTCCTCCTGGGCCGCGCGCATGGCCTTCACGACTTCGGGGATGCATTCGTTCATCTGGCAGAACGTCTGGTTGCCCTGCGGCTCATCGTTCTTGATGAAGTCGCCGCCCTGCCAGAAGCCATAGCACGCCTGGCCGAAGGGCTTCGGCTGCAAGCCGAGCTTGGGCTTGATAATGGTGCCGACCACCAGGCCACCGCCGACCGTGCCGCGACCCAGGATGCGCCACATGTCGATCACGCAGCACGACGGCCCGTCGAACAGGCGCAGGTACTGCGGCGGGAAATAAATATCATAGATCTTGCCGTAGTCGACGTCACCCATGCCCTGATTATTCCCGATGCTCAGGGTCAGCACGGAACACATCATGGCGCGGCCGTCGGTGATGTTGCGGTCGAACAGAGCCGTCGGGTAGGCGATCTTCATCTCCTCGTTCTCAGGATCGATGTAATACACGAGCGCGTCCACAGTCTTTGTGAAGTCGTCGGTGGTGCACACGTTCACGTTCGTGCCTGTAGAGGACTCAGCCGCGAAGTGCGCCGCGGTGGCCAGGTAGTCGTAGCCCGCCTTGGGCTTCATGATGTAGGCCACCAGCACGTGCTGGCCGTTCTTGATCAGGTCCTCCTCCGTCAGCGAGAGGTCCGCGTAGCGGCTCGACTGGTCCAGGGCCCGGCGGGTCACAGAGCTCGCTTTGCGAGCCTTGCTGGCGCCAACGAACGCCGCGGCCAACTCCTTCTTCTGCCAATTGAAGCTGGCCGCCTGGACGGAGGACTCGCCCGTGTAGCCGAGCTTCTCCTTCCAGCCCGGGTAGATCTGGTCCGCATCCTTCTGGAACGTCAAGAACGCGCCCTTGAGCTCCTCGTGCGTCTTCGCGTACTCGACGACGCCGTCCGACAGGCTCACGTCGCCGTAGGTGCCTGCCTTCCACAACTTCCACGACTCCTCGCCCTGGGCGCACGAGATCGCGCCCTGCTTCGGCCCGTCCTTGTGACCGTAAGGCCCCCCCGCCGGCCGTCAGGATAACGTTCGAGTGGCCCAGGTTCTCGAAGAACGCAGGCAGCCGCAAGGCGTTCATGCCACCCGAGATGATCGGGGTGGTCTGCTTCATGCCCTCCCACTCCTGCGGTAGTAGGGGCCGTCGGCGACGTCGTCTTGCAGCATGAAGCCGATGTTCTTGTCCGAAGCGTCACCCTCCATCTTGCCAAAGCTCATCGTGCCCGTGTGGATGCCGCTGGCACCGATGACGCGCGACAACTTGGTGTGCACGAAGGCGGTGTACCCGCGCTGCGTCTGCGGGCTGGTCACTGCGCCGTGGCCGGCGCGGTGGTAGTGCAGGAATTGCTTCGGGAAGTTACGGCGCGCAACGGTCACCGCAGTGCCGCCAGCCACGTAGCCGTCGACCAAGAAAGCACAATTCTCCGCCATCGGGCCCATCTGGTTCAAGATGTACTTGGCACGTGCGATCATCTCGTTCGGGTCATCCGCCGTAATGTTGGCGGAGAACAACTTGCCCTGGCCCGTTTCCTCCTGGGCCGCGCGCATGGCCTTCACGACTTCGGGGATGCATTCGTTCATCTGGCAGAACGTCTGGTTGCCCTGCGGCTCATCGTTCTTGATGAAGTCGCCGCCCTGCCAGAAGCCATAGCACGCCTGGCCGAAGGGCTTCGGCTGCAAGCCGAGCTTGGGCTTGATAATGGTGCCGACCACCAGGCCACCGCCGACCGTGCCGCGTCCCAGGATGCGCCACATGTCGATCACGCAGCACGAAGGCCCGTCGAACAGGCGCAGATACTGCGGCGGGAAATAAATATCATAGATCTTGCCGTAGTCGACGTCGCCCATACCCTGATTATTCCCGATGCTCAGGGTCAGCACGGAACACATCATAGCGCGCCCATCAGTGATGTTACGATCGAACAGAGCCGTAGGATAGGCGATCTTCATCTCCTCGTTCTCAGGATCGATGTAGTACACGAGGGCATCCACCGTTTTAGTGAAGTCATCGGTGGTGCACACGTTCACGTTCGTGCCTGTAGAGGACTCCGCTGCGAAGTGCGCCGCGGTGGCCAGGTAGTCGTAGCCCGCCTTGGGCTTCATTATGTAGGCCACCAGCACGTGCTGGCCGTTCTTGATCAGGTCCTCCTCCGTCAGCGAGAGGTCCGCGTAGCGGCTCGACTGGTCCAGGGCCCGGCGGGCCACGCTGGCGCGCGAGTGGACTGGCACAACGCACGAGGCCTGGCCGGCCGCCAGCTTGCTGGCGCGACCGCGGCGCTTGGACCCGACCGCCGCGGCGAGGGCGGCGGCGGCTGCCGGCGCTGCCAGGGCCGCCGCTCCCCCCGTGGGGCTGGGCTGCTGGGCCTGCGCGGCGCCGCGGAGTGCAGGGACAGCCTCGGCAGAGGAGGCCTGCAGCGTCTCCTCGACGGCGGCGCGGGGCGCAACCTGCGAGGACACGAAGGACTGGCCATGCTTCAAGCAGGCGACGGCCGCCAGGCCAGCAGCAGCCCCGAGCGAGGCGCGTTGGGCCATGGCGCGGGTGGGCCGAGCCGAGCTCGCACGGTCGATTAGCTGGTTCTGGAAAAAATGGCCTCAGCCAAGACGGCTTGAGTCAAACAGGCTTGAGCCAAAATGGCTACGGAGGCACACCCCTCACATGTTTTGTAGCCCCTTTGGGGAGCAACACCGAAGACGATCCTCATAACTGCGGTACCCATAACTGCATATGGCTGGGCTTTGCGCACCAAGAGAACTCCCTGCCCCGGACTCTGGCGAGGGCCTGCAGAGGCCAAAGACACGGCGAACACAAATCCGTCTTGGTTTTTGTTTTGATGCGCTGGATCTCTGGGGCCCTCTCCCCCTTCACCCCCGCCGTCCCTCCCCTCTCACAGGCCAGGGCGACCCCTGGGAACCACCACGCGCCACTGCTGCCAAGGCGGAGCTCTCTGGAGCGCCCCCAGCAGCGGTGGCGGTCCTTCGCAGCGCCGCCCCTGGGCGAAGACGGAGAGGGCTCTCCGGCCTCTCTGCGACGCTCTCCACGCCTTCTCTGGAGCCCCACGGCCTTCTGAGAAGGCTGCTTAGGCCCCCTGAGAAACTTCCTGAGAAGGGCTTCTGAGAAGGCTCACTGAGGAGGCGGAACGAGGAGGAGGAGGCCTTCCGAGGCCTTCTGAGAAGGCTCGCCCCTTCTCGCTTCCCCCCGGGCGCGCCGCCGAAAAAACAACAACATCAACAAACATATCATCATCAATAACAACACCAACAACAACAACAACAACAACAACAACAACAACAACAACAACAACAACAACAACAATTACTAGCACGTGGGGACACTCCGTTCTCACCAGTGCCAGGGTTTTCATAGGAGGCGGGCAATTCCCCCACTTTGTGGGGGGGCCGGTTCAAGCTCTACCAAATTTCCAAACGACTCTTCGCCACCACCCACACCCAGCTTCCCGCCCTATGACGTTCGGTCACTTCACTTCGTGGCATGCGGACGACCGTGGCTACTATTCAGGGCCCCGCGGCCGACGACGACGGCGTGCGCGCGCGAAGAAAAAACGAATGTGTTCCGCATGGTATTATTTGACAGGGATGATGGCCCTGGCAGGTGCGCAACCGTTGTCGCAGAAGTTCGAAAAAATTGCTCGCAAAAGCCCGTTTGACAGAAATGTTTAAAAAGTGTTGGTTTTCCTACGAATCCGCAAGAGCGCGCGGGATGATATTTTGACATTTTTTTGTTGAAAAACCATTGGTTTTTTGATGTTTTTATGTTAAAATCGCTCCGAACACTAAGCTTTTGGAAGGATTTCGTCTTGCGCGCGCGAATGTCCACTTTACCTTATTTTTTGCAAGGGATTCTTGAAATTTGATTATATTAGAACAAGAAATGTCATTTTATAGTGTTTTTTGCAAGGGAAAGCGGGGGGGGAACAAAACAACCGGATCTGGATCACATCGTTTTACCTGAGGCTTCCTCACGAAAATGATGAAAATGTGGCTGCGGCCTAGGCGCGGCGGGGGGGGCGTGCACCAGGGGTCCCAACAATAATTATTCTTTAGAAGTAATAATGTTCAAAACAACAACAACAACAAAGCAGCAGCAAAAACAACAACAACAACAACAACAACAACAACAACAACAACCACAACCACAACAACAACAACAACACAGCAGCAACAACACACACACAACAACAACAACAACAACCATTTTAAGGCTGTACGCTCTTACTTGCCCGCGAGTCATTCAACACGTATACCCTACACCCTCGATGCCCGCCCTCTTCGTCTTCGATCACACCCCTTTCGGGGGGATTATTTCTCTTTGCTGGGGCCGGCGGGCTTAGACGTACGGGCAAACCGGAACGGGCGGACAATCCTTCGGGGGCGTACATCTCTCTGCCCGCCATTGGAATTGGCGCGGGCCCTGCAAGAGGAGGAGGGGAAGAACGAGGGAGAGTGGGAGGAAGGGGAGGGGGAAGGACGAAGGAAGAGGGAAGATACCACGTTGTGAAGGCGTCCTTGGCGCGTGCGTGGTTCCTGAGCGCCGAAACGCAATTCCAGAATAATTTGTGAGGACGTCGCACGCGAGAGCGCAGTCCTGAGTACATTGTGAGGAAATCTCAAGCGGAAGCGGGGGCCCTGACTAAGTTGCGAGGAAGTCTCAAGCGGGAGCGCCGTTCCTGAGCAAATTGCACGGAAGTCTCAGGCGGGAGCGGGGGTCCTCACTAAATTGCGAGGAAGTCTCAGGCGGGAGCGCCGTTCCTGAGTCAATTGCGCGGAAATGTCAGGCAGGAGCGGGGGTCCTGAGTAAAATTCGAAGAAGTCTCAGGCGGGAGCGCCGTTCCCACGTAAATTGCACGGAAGTCTCAGGCGGGAGCGGGGGTCTTGATTACATTGCGAGGAAGTCTCAGACGGGAGCGCCTTTCCTGAGTAAATTGCGCGGAAGTCTCAGGCGGGAGCGGGGGTCCTGAGTAAAAATCGAAGAAGTCTCAGGCGGGAGCCGTTGTTGTTGTAGCCCGGGGGGCAGGGGCACAGTTTGAGCAGGAAGACTTTCCTTGAGAAAAAACAAGGTGCGAGCCCCGGGGGTGGCACTTCAATCGAAAAAACAATGTGCACCGGTGGGGGGGGGGATCAACAATAATTATTCTTCAAGAATGAGAGTTCAACAACAACAACAACAACAACAACAACACCAACACCCACAACCACAACCACAACCACAACCACAACCACAACCACAACTAGAAGAAGAAGAAGAAGAAGAGCAACAACAACAACAACAACAACAACAACAACAACAACCACAACAACAACAACAACAATCACTTTACCCGAACGCTCAGTGTTCTCACCAGTGCCAGGGTTTTCATGCGACGCCAGCCAATACCCCCACTTTGTGGGGGGGCAGTGCAAGCTCTACCAAATATCCACACGACTCTTCGCCACCACCCACACCCAGCTTCCCGCCCTATGACGTTCGGACACTTCACTTCGTGGCCTGCGGACGACCGTGGCTACTACACTGGCGTGGAGTACACACCCACAGAAGTTGTTAGGACAGCGCGCGCGGGTAGAAATTTTGAAAAGTCGTGCAGGTGTTTTTCGAGGACCTACGGTGCGATTCGTGTGATTTTATGATGCGCGGTGCTAAAATTCTTAAGAAGCCCAATGGTTTTTGGAGATTTCGGCGTGCGCGCGCGAAGAAAAAACGAATGTGTCCCGCATGGTATTATTTGACAGGGATGATGGCCCTGGCAGGTGCGCAACCGTTGTCGCAGAAGTTCGAAAAAGTTGCTCGCAAAAGCCCGTTTGACAGAAATGTTTAAAAAGTGTTGGGTTTCCTACGAATCCGCAAGAGCGCGCGGGATGAAATTTTGACATTTTTTTGTTGAAAAACCATTGGTTTTTTGATGTTTTTATGTTAAAATCGCTCCGAACACTAAGGTTTTGGAAGGATTTCGTCTTGCGCGCGCGAATGTCCACTTTACCTTATTTTTTGCAAGGGATTCTTGAAATTTGATTATATTAGAACAAGAAATGTCATTTTATAGTGTTTTTTGCAAGGGAAAGCGGATTACAACAAAACAACCGGATCTGGATCACATCGTTTTACCTGAGGCTTCCTCACGAAAATGATGAAAATGTAGCTGCGGCCTAGGCGGCGCAGGGGGGGCGCGCACCAGGGGGCCCAACAATAATTATTCTTTAGAATAAATAATGTTCAACAACATTAACAATAGCAATAACAATAACAGCAGCAGCAGCAACAGCAGCAGCAGCAACAACCAAACAAAAACATCAACAATAAAGAAAACAACAATAAACAAAGAAAAAAGAAAAAAACAACAGCAGCAGCAGCAGCAGCAGCAGCAACAACAACAACAACAACAACAACAACAACAATCACTTTACCCGAACGCTCAGTGTTCTCACCAGTGCCAGGGTTTTCATGCGACGCCAGCCAATACCCCCACTTTGTGGGGGGGCAATGCAAGCTCTACCAAATATCCACACGACTCTTCGCCACCACCCACACCCAGCTTCCCGCCCTATGACGTTCGGACACTTCACTTCGTGGCCTGCGGACGACCGTGGCTACTACACTGGCGTGGAGTACACACCCACAGAAGTTGTTAAGCCTACGTTCGTACACCCACAGAAGTTCTTAAGCCTTGTTAACCCACAGAAGTTGTTAAGCCTTCCACAGAACATCTGTTGCATATGATGCATATGGTACATGATACACATGATACACATGATACGTACTCACAAGATAGTTGATCACATCTTTAGGGCAAATTCCTGAGGGATGTGGGAATACACAAGAGAGAGAGGATATGGTTGTCCCGATGGTTGTCTCGATGGTTGTCCCGATGGTTGTCCTGATGGTTGTGGTTGTCCCGATCGTTGTCCCGATGATTGTCCCGATGGTTGTCCTGATGGTTGTGCTTGTCCCGATCGTTGTCCCGATGACTGTCCCGATGATTGTCCCGATGGTTGTCCCGATGGTTGTTCCGATGGTTGTCCCGATGGTTGTCCCGATGGTTGTGAGCGATGCCGGATCCTCACGCCCCCCGCCGGAGGAGGAGGAGGAGGAGGAGCAGGACAAGGAGGAAAGGAGAGAAGAGAGAAGGAGGGATGCGCGGTGCTAAAATTCTTAAGAAGCCCAATGGTTTTTGGAGATTTCGGCGTGCGCGCGCGAAGAAAAAACGAATGTGTCCCGCATGGTATTATTTGACAGGGATGATGGCCCTGGCAGGTGCGCAACCGTTGTCGCAGAAGTTCGAAAAAGTTGCTCGCAAAAGCCCGTTTGACAGAAATGTTTAAAAAGTGTTGGGTTTCCTACGAATCCGCAAGAGCGCGCGGGATGAGATTTTGACATTTTTTTGTTGAAAAACCATTGGTTTTTTGATGTTTTTATGTTAAAATCGCTCCGAACACTAAGCTTTTGGAAGGATTTCGTCTTGCGCGCGCGAATGTCCACTTTACCTTATTTTTTGCAAGGGATTCTTGAAATTTGATTATATTAGAACAAGAAATGTCATTTTATAGTGTTTTTTGCAAGGGAAAGCGGGGGGGAACAAAACAACCGGATCTTGATCACATCGAATTACCTGAGGCTTCCTCACGAAAATGATGAAAATGTAGCTGCGGCCTAGGCGGCGCAGGGGGGCCGTGCACCAGGGGCCCAACAATAATTATTCTTTAGAATTAATAATGTTCAACAACACAACAACAAACTACTAGCAGTGGGGACACTCCTCACCAGTGCCAGGGTTTTCATAGGAGGCGGGCAATACCCCCACTTTGTGGGGGGGCCGGTTCAAGCTCTACCAAATTTCCAAACGACTCTTCGCCACCACCCACACCCAGCTTCCCGCCCTATGACGTTCGGACACTTCACTTCGTGGCATGCGGACGACCGTGGCTACTATTCAGGGCCCCGCGGCCGACGACGACGGCGTGCGCGCGCGAAGAAAAAACGAATGTGTCCCGCATGGTATTATTTGACAGGGATGATGGCCCTGGCAGGTGCGCAACCGTTGTTGCAGAAGTTCGAAAAAGTTGCTCGCAAAAGCCCGTTTGACAGAAATGTTTAAAAAGTGTTGGGTTTCCTACGAATCCGCAAGAGCGCGCGGGATGAAATTTTGACATTTTTTTGTTGAAAAACCATTGGTTTTTTGATGTTTTTATGTTAAAATCGCTGCGAACACTAAGGTTTTGGAAGGATTTCGTCTTGCGCGCGCGAATGTCCACTTTACCTTATTGTTTGCAAGGGATTCTTGAAATTTGATTATATTAGAACAAGAAATGTCATTTTCTATTGTTTTTTGCAAGGGAAAGCGGATTACAACAAAACAACCGGATCCTGTACACACCCTCTTTTCTGAGGCTTCCTCACGAAAATGATGAAAATGTAGCTGCGGCCTAGGCGGCGCAGGGGGGGCGCGCACCAAGGGGCCCAACAATAATTATTCTTTAGAATAAATAATGTTCAACAACAACGAAACGCGGGGATCTGAGAAGGCTGGCGGCTCCAGGAGACTTCCGCGGAACGCTCCCTGGCCGGAATGCAGCGGGCGCCGCGCCCGTTCCGGAGGGAACGCGAAGCGCACCCTTTCGGAGTCCCGAAACGGTGCGGTGACAGACCGTGCGGTAACCCCAGAACCCCAAGAGACGTCACCGCACGGTCCGCCAGCGCACGGTCCTGGGACCCCGGATTGAAAAAATCAGGACGTCACATGTCTGGGAATGACCCAAGCATCGGCTCGTCGTCTGAGGGCGGTCCGACAAGCACCTCGTGCACCCGCTTCTCTCTCTCTGGAGGCTGGACAAACGCATCGCCACAAACCTCTGGCGTCCACGGGCGACACTCTCCCGCCAGCGCTGGACCCCGAGGCGCGCGACGAGCAGGGCAGAGGACGCCGCCCAGAGGTTCGGGAAAAGAGGCGTGGCGCTGGCGGAAGTCTGCAGTCAGAAATTGATGGCGCTGTCCGAAATCTGCCGTGACGCTGGCAAAAAAAGCTGCGGGAAATTCTGGCGGATTTTGCTGCGAGGTGCCCGTCTCTCCACCGAAAGAATTAGGGAGACAGGTCTGGGGGGCAGTACCGAAGAGGGTCCAGGAGCAAGAAGGGGAGACAGGGCGGGGGTCAGGAGGCGGAGGGGCAAGAAGACTGGCCAGGCCCATCCTGAACCCAGCAGCGGTGTATACGCCACGCCCGGCTGGCTTGGCCAGGAAGGCGTATCCACAGCTCCTGGACCCAGGAAGGGCCCGGCCAGGGAGGGGTGGGGGAGGAGGAGGAGGAGGAGGAGGAGGAGGAGGAGGAGGAGGACACGGATATGGATATGGATATGGATATGGATATGGATATGGATATGGATATGGATATGGATATGGATATGGGTATGGATATGGATATGGATATGGATATGGATATGGATATGGATATGGATATGGATATGGATATGGATATGGATATGGATATGGATATGGATATGGATATGGATATGGATATGGATATGGATATGGATATGGATATGGATATGGATATGGCATCATCTAAGACTCCGAGGCGGCGGATACGGAGGTGGACTCTGCTCGATACTTGTTCTGCGGTGGCCCAGGACCCCTGCAGAAGGAAGCGGGCCAGGCAGGGGAAAGACCTTCCGCCAATCATCGGCGGCCAGCGAGGGGGGGAAGTGAGAAGGAGAAGGCCTTCTCAGAAGGCGGCGGGACGTCTCAAAGCCTTCTCGCCTTCTGAAAGCTTTCTGTGTCATCGAAGACGGCTTAGAAAATTTCTCAGAAGGCCGGGGGACTTCCGGGACTTCCGAGCCTTCTGAGAAGGACGTTTCCTTCTCACTTCCCCCCCTCGCTCGCCGCCGAAACAACGGCCATCGCGAGTCTCGGCACGCCCGAAATTGACACGGAAAAACAATAAATATTGCCCGACTGACAAGGAAATTGACACAGAAATTGACACGATGGCGGACAGTGTTGCCCAAAATCGCCAGCGCCGCTGTTAGGCAGGTGACTTCGCGTCTCAGGCAGACAACGCCCACGGCGACATCAATAGCGAGTCCTGCTCAAAAGTAGGCAGAAACTGCTGTCGGTAGTGCTGAACCGTCGCCCAGAAAAGTCTATTCTGGCGGTGGATTCCCCTTCCCGCCGCCTCTGTCGCGCTGGCAGCACCACTCCTTCTTGCCGACGGACCAGGCCATCTGCCAGTTCTCAGCTGCCGAGTCGCAGTCGTACTCACGCTTCGAGTGGTTATCACGACCAGGCGGCCTGCATCAGCCTCCTCCAGACCACATCCTCCACCCTCCTCTTCCTTCTCCTCCTCTACCCGACCTCCTCGATTATCCGTTCACCCTTCTCCCCCTCGTCGTCATCATCAGAATCATCGTCAGCAGCACCAGCATCAGCATCAGCATCAGCATCAGCATCAGCATCAGCATCAGCATCAGCATCAGCATCAGCATCATCATCATCATCATCATCATCATCATCACCGCCACCGCCACCATCACCATCATCACCAGCAGCAGCAGCATCAGCATCAGCATCAACATCAGCATCATCATCAGCAGCATCATAATCAGCATCATCAGCATCATCACAATCCTCATCGTCCTCATCCTCCTCATCATCATCATCGTCATCATCAACAGCAGCAGCATCAGCACCAGCATCAATATCATCATCATAATCATCATCATCAACAACATCCTCATCATCATCATCATCATCATCATCATCGTCATCATCATCATCATCATCATCATCATCATCATCACTACCAACATCATCACCGTAATCGTTCGCATCGTCAACATCATCATCAGCATCATCGTCACGTTATTCATCATCATCAACATCATCACCGTCATCAGCATCAGCATCATCAACATGAGATCATCATCATCATCATCATCATCATCATCATCATCATCATCATCATCATCATCATCATCATCATCATCGTCATCAGTTCCTGCTATTCCCCTTCCTCAAAAATCCTCTACCATCTAGTAAATTATCCTCATCCTGCTCCTCCGCTTCCTCCTTCGTCCTTCCCTCTCCCCCTCTCCTCCTCCTAATTGTCAGTCCTCCTGCTCCTCACGCGTGTCCTCATCCTCGTCGTCATCATTAGTACTCGTCATCATCACGATCATCATAACCACAATCACCGCCATCATCATCGTCCTCGTCATCGTCATCGTAAGCGACCTTGCCATCGTCATCACAGCCACCGTTGGCATCGTCCATCCGTCCATCCGTTCCTGTTCCTCCATAAGGCTCCCCGTCGGGCCACCGGGCGCGTCGGGAGGGGGGGGAGCTGGGCGTTTCGCCTACAACTGGAGGCCTGGAAAATGGCACCAGCACCAATGATCCTCGATTTCGGTGTTAGTGGTAATATTTCGGACACCTTGGAAGCCAGAGTACTACCACCATCACCGAGATCGGGATCTCCTTCCCTCGGTGGAGGCACACCGCCGATATTGGTGTTCGTGTCAACCTCCAGGCCTGCGATACAAAACCTCCCCACATTCCCCGAACAAGGCTTCCACTCAGGGCATTATCGGGAGCGGCCAAGAGGGGGGTGTCCAAAAGGAGGGGGTGCAAATCATGACCGGCGGCATGTGCGCTGCCCAGCGGGGGGGCCAGGGACGTAATGAAACAAGAACAGGCGCCATGAAATCTGGGGAAATACCATGGCCCCCGCCATGACATCCACCCCCCCCCTAGTCGTCACCCCCCTCTTTTTCGCCCCCGACACTCAGGGCATAAATTACTGCTCTTCTACGGGGCCGGGACCGGGAGCGGGCCCGGCGCGGCCCCGCTCTTCGTGCGTCGCGACCGCCCCGTGGCACCAGCGCCCTTCCCCCCTCTGTTGCACTGCAACCGCGCTGCGATGCCATCGACCTGCAGTGCGGTGCCCTGCAGTCGTATTCTGCGCTGCACTGTACTGCCATCGCACTGCAATCGCACTGCATCACCGTCGCACTTCCTTGCACTGCTTCGCAATAGCGCTGCATTGCAATCACACTGCCTTGCATCTCGTTCCGTCGCATTGCGTTGCATTGCACTGCTTTGAATTGTTTTGCAGCTCTTTGTATTGCTTCGCATTGCGTCGCATTGCGGTGCACTGATTTGCATTTCTTTGCATGGCTTTGCTTTGTGTTGCATGGCTTTGCGTTGCTTTGATTGCAATCGCCTTGCGGTGCATTTCTTTGCATTGCCTTGCATGGTTTTTCATCGCTCTGCATTGTCCTGCATCGATTTGCTTTAGGTTGCATTGTGTTGAATGGCTTTGCATTGCATCGCATTGTGTTGCATTGAGTTCCATGGTTTTGCATTGCTTTGCATTGCGTTGCATTGGTTTGCATTGCATTGCATTGCCTTTGATTGATTTACATTGCGTTGCATTGCGTTGTATTGCGTTGATTTGCTGGGTTTTGATTCGCTTTGCATTGCTTTGCTTTTCTTTTCACTACGTTGCATTGCATTGCGTTGAGTTGCATTGTTTTGCATAGTTTTGCATTGACTTCCCATTCAAAAAAGAGGACAGGTTTTACCACCCGCCCCCACGGCCTTATCGACTCACCCTGAGATACTATAATTTACAAATGGTTCTGCCTCATCGATCATCTTGCAAATAAATTCGTACCATTCCAAGGAATGCCGTTATCGCCCCTCCATCATCTCTGTCAAATCCGCCGTCTCCCGCTTCCCGGGGTGAGAAGGCGTGTGGGATGATTGCCTGTCCCCCATCCCCCCCTCTCCCTCCCCAGGGTCCAAATCTCGTTTTCGGGGGGGGGGAGGAGGAGGAGGAGTATCTGGGCTCCCTGGAGAAGGTGGCGGGGGTTCCTGGCGCACCCCTGGTGACTCCGGAGCTTCCAAACCTACCTTCCGTGGCTCCGAAAACGTTTCAAGACGGTCCCAAGTCGCCGAACGATCGACCCAAGACGCCTACGACGGCTCCAAGACGCCCCAAGACACCTTTGGGACGCCCCAAGAGAGGCCCAAGAGCCTTGCCAACAGGGCCTCGAGAGGCAACAATCAATGCTTCTCCTTAGGTTTGTCATCGATTCTAGCGTAGACGGCCCAAGAGGCCCTGGAGACCGCCCCGAAACTGCCCATGAGGCCCCCACGAGGGCCCGAGAACGGCCCCAGAGGGTTCCAATCCAAGACGGCCCAAACAGGGGCCCAAGACGGCCAAAGATCGCCCCCAGGAGGCCCCAAGAGAGGCCAAGAGGGAGAACACGAACCGAAAATCTTTCTTCTCCGCCCCGAAAGGCCCGCAGAAGGCCCCAAAAAGCCTTCGAGCGGCCCAAAAGAAGGCCCCCAAAAGCCCCAAGAGGCCCCCAGAAGGCCCAAAAGAGACCACAAAACGGCCCCCAAGACGCTTCAAAACTACGCCCAAGAGGCTCCACCGGGCCCCCAATTAGCTCCCAAGGCGCCCAGAAGCACCCCCATGATAGTGCCCATAAAAGCCCACTACGCCTCAACCGTGGACTCCCCGCTTCTTTCTAGGGATCGGCGGAATGGCGCAAGTCTCTCGAATAAGACTATGAACGCATACTCGTCGATTAAAACACAGAATGATTCAGAATCAATTGCCGAAAACATGACGGAAGGGAAAAGAGGAACAACAAGAAACAACAAGAAACAACAACAACAACAACAACAACAACAACAACAACAACAACAACAACAACAACAACAACAATAACAACAACAAAAACAACAAACAACAACAACAACAACAACAACAACAACAACAACAACAACAACAACAACAACAACAACAACAACAACAACCACAACAACCACAACAACAACAACAACGCGCGCGTTGTCGCGCACGCGTGTCAGAATATGTGTAAGCCTTTTTCGTTCGCTCAAAGGATTTCAGTAGCGAAGCTTGGGACAACCAAAACAAACAAAAAAAAAAAATGGCGGTTGCCCCACTTTTGCTCAACAAAATTTACGCGCACACTTGTTCGTTCTTGACGGGGCACTTTTGTTTCTGACTAACACAATGAGACAACGCTGGCCTCTCGCGAACGGATGTAAAAAATCATTCGACGGTTTCGCGCACTTGCTGGGGGGCGCGACTGCTGTCAAACAGTACCATGCGGTCCACGCGCGCGCGTCGGCCGCGCGCGCATGTCGAAATCCCCCCAAAACTTCCATCAGCAAAACATGGACAGCATCATCGGTGGCGGCGTTACCAGCATCGGCGCCGTCATCGGCCTTGCCGCCATCATCGCAAGCACCATCGCCACATCATCATCGATGCCGTTGTTGCCGTCGTCATGCTGATACCGCGCCCGCCCGAGCCACCGACCGGCACTGAAACGCCCGCGCGCCAGCGCGGCCTGTGACACGCGACGCAGAGATCCGACCGGTAGGCGCCATCGCGGCCGCACCGACTGCGCCACACCAATTGGCCGTTCTGTGTTCGAGGTGGCGCTCGCCAGTACGGCCGCGAAAATGTGCCAACCACGGCCAAGCAGTCACCACAATCGCCGCCGCATGGGTGTTGCAAACCAAGTTGCGGGCGCGGGTGGATGATTGCGCGAGCAATTGATTTGGCAACCTCCATTTTGGCAGCAAAGTGGCTTCGCACCACAAACGGTTGCACCGCATGGATTGCACAACGACTGTTGCTCTTCATCACAAATATTGCAGTTGCTTGCCCGCGCGCATGCATTGCAATGAAATGGCAGCCATATCATTCCAGACATCTGACACAAAACGAGCATTTTCATGTCACCGCGCGGCGCACCCGCTTCGACCCGGCATGCGCCCCGCGCACGAACCCGTCCACAACAATACCGCAAAAAACATTGCATCACACCACGCGAATGCAAGGAGCCAATGTGCGGTGCCCACGCTGGCTAACATTAACAAATTCTTATGCCCCTCGAGAAAGGAAGCCCCCATCGACTACGATGATGGAAGGCGGGCCCATGATTTGCATAGTGTGCGGTCTTTTCCGCTCAATCTCTTGACGACGACGATGATGGAGGGCGAACGGTTTCGCAATGTGGTTCCCGCCTGCGCCGCGCACGCGCGCCCCATTCTTTGCCGAATATGGCATTCGCAATAGCACCGAGCACGTCCACCATGATAGCCAGCGCGAAACCCAAACAATCAGTTATTGCACTCTGGGGGTGGGAGTTGCGTTGTGCAAGTTAAATGGTGCGAAATATGCGGTGCAAGCTTTGCGGCGTGAGCTATGTGGCTTCAGACACGTGGTGCATACTAATGCGTGCGAATATGTTTGCAACTCTTCGGTTGTAAATTCTACTGCTCGCCAAATCATCCAACCCACCCACACCCACCCGCAACCTGGTTTTCAAAACCCATGCGGCGGCCATTGCGATGACTGTCTGGCCATGGCTGGCACATCTCTGCGGCCGCGCTGGAGAGCACAAACTCGCGCGCAGAAAAGCCAACTGGTTTGGCACAGTCGGTGCGGCCACGATGGCGCTTACCGGTGGCAGCGCCCCAGCGCATGTCAGAAGGCCGCGCTGGCGCGCGGGCGCTTCAATGCGGGTCGGTAGCTCGGGCGGGCACGGCACCATGATGACGACGACAACAGCGACACCCATGATGAAGGCGACGAAGGTGGCGGCAGTGGTAATGATGGCGACGGCAAAACCAGTGCCGGCGCCGATACTGGCAACGCCGATGATCATGCTTATGTCCATGTGTGGAAGATGAAGGCGTTTGAACGATGATGGCGGCAATTGCGACGATTGTCGACGACGGTGACGTGATGCGGCGGCGCTGATGGGGGCTGATGGTGGAAAGCGCGCGCGGATAACCAAGAAACCTTTTCAGACTATTGCTGGACGTATTTGACTGATTCGACCTTGAAATCCGTATGCCGAAGGAATTCCACGCGCACGCGACGGCCGCTGGCAGGTTGGCCCGCAAAGTAATAGTTGATGGGGATCCGTGCACTTGGCGCATGCTGGATCCACGCGGATGCACCGCGTGGTAAAATTGAAATGCGACTTCTGGGAAATATTGCTAGACTGGCATGGCTTTCGTTTCATCTCAGCACTGTATGATGTCGCCATGCGCGCGCGTGCTGAATTCGTCCCACTCTAGAGCAAAAGACCATTGGAAAATAACCGTGTGCAACGAGCTAGAGACCGCGCACAACATCATGCAAGATGAACGATAAAGCAGAATAAACTGAAAATTGCATAATCTTCGTGGGTGTCGACAAGTCTGGGGGGAGGTTGCAGAGCCAATTCTTTGGTTAGCTGCGAAAAACGAGCTATGTGGCGTGAGCTACATAGCGTCCACTGTGCGGTGTAAGCCTTCTTGCGCAATATTTGTGACTATGTTATGTAAGCTGTGCAGCGTGAGCTCTGTGGCGACAGCTGACCAAAGGAAGCTGTGCGGCAAGCCACGTCGCGCATGAAATCATGTGGTGCGAGCTGCGTCGCGCGAGCTATGTTTCGCAAGCTACGCGCTGCAAGCTATGCGGCGCAGGCCTCTTGCGCAAGCCCATGTGATGCAAGCGCACAAGGGGGCGCCCACGGGGCGCCCACGAGCGGCCGCGGGGCGAACCCTCGGGAAACACACCCAACTCACGGGGGGCGCCCACGAGGCGCCCACGAGCGGGCACGGGCCAACGCGGCGAGTCCTCGGGAGACCCACCCCGCGCAGAGCGTGAGCGGAGGCAAGGAGCCGAAAGGCCGAACCGCCCGTCCGAAGGAGATCCGCAGGCAGAGGACGGATGACAGCGATGAAGGGCTGTGTCCCTCGATGCTGCACTGTCCTGAATTTCAGGAGATCCAGCACCTGAGCCGATAGGGGGGGCGCCCACGGGGCACCGCGAGCGGGCACGGGCGCCAGTGAGGCGAAACCTCGAGAAGCCCACCAAACGCACGGGGCGCCCAAAGGCGCCCACGAGCGGGCACGCGCACCGACGTGGCGAAAACACGGGGCACCCGTCCAGCTCTACCGGAGCAGCACAAGCGAGAACTCCCCGGTGCAGGCACTGGTCGGGGAAAAGAATGCCCGCTTCTGCACGCATTGAAAGCCATGTGCCGCCAAAGTCCCGAGGGGGGTGAGGGGGGAGCATCGACCCGGGGAGCGAAGAGGTTTAAACCCGACCCCGCTCAAAGGGAGGAGGGGGGCTCAGCCGCACAGCCTCCCTGCATCCAACGACGAGTCCACCGCGGGCGACCCCTCCCTTCTGAAGGGCCCGCTCCTGCATTCGGCGCCGCTCCCTGGGCACTGCTAAAGGGCGACTTCGCGTTCGGGGTGTCGCGACTGGAACACACATTCGGAACATGGTTTTCCAGGCTTCCACTGCGGTTGACAGGTAATCATACAACAGCTTCAGCACTGCCTGCTACTGCACGAGTTCCCCGTTGTGAAGAATCCCGAGCATGTTCGCACATACAAGCATATGCGGTAAAAAAGAAAGGTAGCGGATTCTATTACATTCCTGTCCTCAATATGATTCGGGGTATGGTTCCTCGCCTCTCTCCTCTCCCTCCCTCCGCCCCCCCCTCCCGACAAGCCTGTCATCGGCGACGATCCGTTGGCACGCCTTGCCCTCCTGCAGGCAGCACCACACCTTCTTGCCGACCGACCACTCGTAGCGCCACCGGTCCGCTCCAGCCGAGCAGTCGTACAGCCGAGCGGTCGTGTGATTGTCGACGGCATGGCTGCAGCGGGATTTGTCCATCGCAACGGAGACAAGCCTCGGGTGCAGATGTGTCGGCAAGAGGTACCACACAAACCCAGAGTCACGCGAGGGCCAACCTGGAATAGGGGAGCCAACACGCAGAACCTTGGCATATGAAGAAATTGTGTGGCAAGATAAGTTTGCTGCCTAGAAATCGAAGTTCGGCCTGGAGACACGGATAGGCTGGTATGGCTGCAGCGCGATGCAGTCTTTGTCTCACAACGCTGGGGTGGAACGAACGAGAGGATAGTGTAGTGCAAAGAGGACCGATCCGAACGAAAGCCCTGAAGCATCGTTTCATAGACGCAGTGCGGAGAACGAGGCGAAAAATCGATCGGGCAGAGTTGATTGGATCCGTCATACGAAGCTCGACCGGTCCATTCATCCTCTAAGCGAGGCAAAAGTGATGGATCGATTCGAATCGAATCAAAAGACGGGGAGGATGGGAGGAGGGTGCACGCAAACAAACTCGTACCTCCTCCTCCTCCCCCTCCCCCTCCCCTCCTCATCCTCAACCGTCTTCCCACTCCACGCTCCCCCTCCTCCTCCTCCTCATCATCCTCCTCCTCCTCCCCCTCCTCGTCCTCCTCCTCCTCATCATCCTCCTTCTCGACATTGACGCTCAGCGCTGTAAGACCCAGCACTCTGTGTTGAGGCGCGGTTTGCCTCCTGGAGAGCATCTGGGCAGGGCCACCACAGGACCCGCCTGCAGACAGGTCGGAGGCGGCGGAAGCTGCTTTTAGGGTCACACGTTGGCCAATGGGTCGGGGGTGGCGGCTGAGCCAGGGGCCCCTGACTGCGAATACGCTGGGGTTGCTTCCAGGGCTGGACCCTAACGTTCTTCTTCGTTTTGCTGTTCGTTTTGCTCCACCTGTGTTCCGGCACCTCCCTCCCAAAACGAAGCACAAGAAGACACAGCCGAAGTCCAGGAAACCGGCGTTTAGGTCCAGCCCAGGTTGTTTCATGCGGCCCCAGAGGTCGCACCCCAGACCTCGGCGGTGGCGCCGTTGCCCACCCCGATGCCCACGACATCGCTGACAAGCTGCACGGTCTTGAGTCTCCAGAGGCGCTGGCGACTTGGGAGACAGAGACCCGCGGCCCTGCCATGGGAACTGGAACTGTCTGGGATGAAGAGGGTAGCATGGTGGGTAGCCCCTGGAACGGCCCGTATGACCAGCACCCTCAGTACCCGCCACCTTCCATCCTCGCTCCACGCTCCTCCCTCTGCCCGCTCCTCTTTTGCCCCCCCTACTCGTTCCATCCTCCCTCCCTCCCTCTTCCCCCCTGCTCCTCCCCCGCGCTGGAGGCCTCCGACGGGCCCGAAACGCCCAGCAACCAGACTCCTCGACCATCCTCAAAGACAGCGAGGGAAGGAGGGGGAGGAGGAGGGAGGAGGGAGGAGGGAGGAGGGAGGAGGGAGGAGGGAGAGGGAGGGAGGGGGGAGGAGGAGGGAGGAGGGAGGAGGGAGGAGGCGGAGGAGGGGAGGAGGAGGAGGAGGGGGAGGAGGGGGGGAGGGGGAGAGGGGAGGTGGAGGAGGGGAGGAGGAGGAGGAGGAGGAGGAGGAGGAGGAGGAGGAGGAGGAGGAGGAGGAGGAGGAGGGGGGAAGAGCTGCCCCCACGCCAAAGCGACCTCGGGCAAGACCTGTGGCGCGCGGCAGTCGGGGCGACGGCAGCGGACTGTGCGCTCGGGCTGGGCCCCCCGCCCCCCCGAAAATCCGCACACCAGAAGGTCTCCCCGTTCGAAGGGCCGCTCAACCGCGCGCAGCCGAGAGAGGAGAAAAAAAATAAAAATACAAAAAAAACGGGGGCGGGGGCTCCTGGCGCCGCCGTCGCCGTGCGGGCGCTCACCGCCGTCCGAGCAGAAGGAGCTGTCCTGCTCGCAGCACCTCGGCACCCCTGCAGGGCCCCCCGCCCACCTCCACCCATCAAGGCAGGGTCCCGTACGAGCACGAGGCCCGGTCCGATATCGGACGCGGAGTGAAACAATAACACGAATTACGCAAATATGATCTCTGCTGCTGGTGCATCGATGGTCGGGCGTCGAAGGAAGGGAGGGGAGAGGAGGGAGGGAGGGGGCCAGGGGAGAGAAAGAGAGTGAGGCGGGGTCAAGCTGCAAATCTATCCCACGCCGTTCGTGGCCTTCCTTCACCCTTCGTAAAAGGCTTACCACTTCTGATGCCCCTCGACTCGCGCTGGAGCTTCCAAGATCTGAATCAAAGATCCCCGGAGATCTGTGCACCTACCTCAGCTCATCTGGACCTCGACTTTTCTATTCTTGCCTCGACGTATCAGGCCCGATCCACGCAAGTCGGTTGGAGAACAGTCCTTAAACCCTTGGGGAACCTTGGAGGACGGGCGGGCGAGGAGGGAATCTGGGATTCCAGCATGGCCTCGGGCGCAACCCGCGCGGGGGCACGAGGTCAGGGCGGAGGAGGAATGGCGGCGAGCGACGGGGGGGGAGTGCGAAGGAGCAGTCCTTCTCAGAAGGCGGGGGTGACTTCTCAGAAGCCCTCGCGCGCGTTCTGAGAGGTGTTCTGTGCCCCCACGGAGACTTCCGAGCCTTCTGAGAAGGGTTTTCCCTTCTCACTTCCCCCCAGGCTCGCCACCGATCTAAGGCGGAGTGGGAGGGAGGGAAGAGGGAGAGCTCTACGGGATTTTCCCGCTCCGCGGGTACTTCCGCACCCGAGCTTGGGGAGCGAGGGGACCGGCCGGCCGCGACGACGAACGCCGACGGAAGCTGGCGCGCCCCTTTTCACGCTTGAGTGTGTACGCAGACCCCAGGCCACCAGGCTCTGCACTTCGCGCCGCGCGGCGCGCAACACGCGACTGCGCTCTCGCGCGACACCTTTCGGAGAAGAACGGCGCTCCAGCCCTGTCCACGAGGCGGCACGAAACGCGGCGGTCTTCGCGCCGCTGCAGACGACCTGATGTACTGCAGTTTCGACGGAGCGCCCGGGGGGGAACGCGGAGGGGGCCAGCCTTCCCGAAGGCGGCGAAGCTTCTCAGAAGCCCTCCCGCCTTCCGAGCAGCCTTCCAAGCCTTCTCCTAAGCTACCGACGGCTCCTCAGAAGGCGCGAGGTCTTCTGAGAAGCCCGGTCGCATTCTGAGAAGGCCAGTGAACACATCTGCCCCCCTCCCTCGAACACCATCGCGGGCCTCTCTCGCTGGTCCCACTGTGCGCCCGGCGCTCCAGGCGCAAGAGATCTCTGTGAAGAGCGGCGAAGTCGCCCCGTTCCCGGCCCTCCGTGTTTTTTTTGCAACGCGGACCCCCCGAGACCTGGAGCAGGCCTCAACAGGCCCCCTGGGGTTCCGGGGCGATCTCGCCACCCCCGCACCTCCTTTGGCGGCGCTCCACATGCTCCCCGCGCCCTGGAATCGGAGCTGGGACCGGGGCGGACTGCCTCCCGAGGCTGTCTGTCCGCAGCCCCAAGCCCTACCATTCGAGGGGGTGGGCCTCACCGCCACGGCTGCATCCGCCTCGAGATTCGGGCCAGAGCGCACCTCAGAATATCTCCGAGATTGAGCATGGGCACAAGATGAGATGCGCGACTGGCGTGTCCTTTTCGGCCGCTGCTTCTCCCGCGGCCCTTTCTTGGACGAGCGCGTTCCACTACTCGCAAAAAGTGGCTACTCGCAAATCGCCTGGATCCGCCGCGGGGGGCTCCACGATAAACTACCTCGCAGCAGAAACGTGTTTTTCGGGCGTTTGCGAGCAGGCACTTTGCGAGTAGTGGAACGCGCCGGGTGATTCCTTGTTCTCCTCCTCGGTGGCACCTCTTCCAACCCCTCCTGCTGCGCGCTCGTGCCTGCCGGACTGGCTCCGTGCGAGCCCCCCCGTGGCGCTCGCGGGGAGGCACGGGCGCAGCGGTCTCGAGCACTGCCGCCGCGTTCTGCTTTTTTCGGTCGGGCGCGTCCTCCGACAGGGGGATTCGGGACGAAGAATGAAGAGCAGTCACAGAACATGCGCAAAACAGTCAAAAATTGCCAAAGGTCGTCCCCAAAACTATATTTTGACTAATTTTGCATGTTCCTCCTGTCGAGGGACAGGGCCGACCTAATTCTGCGCGCTCGCTCTCGAGCATGCTCTCCCTCCCCCCTCTTCGTGGGAGGCTGCCGTCCAGCCTTCAGTCGGGCCTGTCCCTCTACAGGGGGAAGATTCAACAATAGTCCAAAAATAGTCTGGGGACGATGTCTTGAGCACTGCTTTACCATTTGGGAATATGTTGTGACTATTTTCTATTTTTCGTCCAAAATTCTCCCCGAAAGAGAACGTGCCCGACCGAAGTCCAGCCCGGTACTCCTCCTCCGCATGCCCCTCCCCTCTTTGGCCCTGTCGGGAGCGACCAAGAAGGGGTGTCCAAGAGGGGGGGGATGCAAATCATGACCGGCGGCATGTGCGCGGCCCAGCCGGGGGGCCAGGGACGTAATGAAATAAAAAGAGGCGCCCTGAAATCTGGGAAACATCATGGCCCCCGCCATGATATCCACCCCCCCCAAGTCATCACCCCCCTCTTTGCCGCCCCCGACCCTGGGCCGCCGGGCTCTCTCCCTCCGGGCAATGCCCGCCGCGCCTCGCGGACTCTCGCGCCCCCGCACGGGGGAGAGAGCTCACAGAGCCACGGAGACCACAGGAGCACCAGCGCTCCACGATGCCTCTGGGCGTTGGCGCTGACGTGGCCGGCTGGAAGAACGCGGACGGCACAAGGTGCGAGCTGGCGCTGAAGGATGATCCTCTGGAGGATTGCGTAGAGCTTCGATTCTCTTCGCACGTTCACGGGCAAAGTTTCCGCCGGCGCCAGGCCGCATCCCCTGCCCCCCCCCCTCCCCGGCGCCGCCCGGGGAGCGCGGGGAAGATGCCCGGCGCCAGCAGGGAGGATGCCCCGCAGGCGCTCGGGGTTCGTGCCAGTGCGGCGCCCTGGTCCTGCAGAGCAGGGAAAGAGGCGTCCTTCTCCCCAACCCCTCCCTCGCTCCCTCCCTCCCTCCCTCCACCAAGTGCGGGTTTCGCGCTGCACACTGCGTGCCGCCGAATTCTGCCTCTGCCTCTGGGCCCCTGGCCAGCCCATGCCGGACCAGCACCCAGATGGAGAGTGCAGTGCAGAGTGGATGTGCGCTCACCCAGTGCGGCATTCCACGCAGATCGCGGCAGGCCATTCCATACTGGCCAAGCATCGGCGGCGAGCGAGGGGGGGGGAAGTGAGACGGAGAAGGCCCTCTCAGAAGTCGGCGGGGCTTCTCAGAAGCCCTCCAGCCCTCTGAGAGGTCCTCTGTGTCCCTGGAGGGAGGCTTGGGAACCCTTCTCAGAAGGCCCGGGGACTTCCGAGCCTTCTGAGAAGGCCCGCCCCTTCTCCCTTCTCCCTCCCCCCCCCCCCCCCCTCGCTCGCCGCCGAAGAGTCAGCTCGCGAGGGCGCGGATATGGACTCGCCGGAAGGTTTTCTCCCTGGGGGGAGGCTCAGAACACCTCTCGGAAAGCTAATTCGGGGGGCTTCTGAGAAGGCCCGCCCCGCGCCGCCTCCCCCCCGGGGCGCGCCGCCGAAGACAGCTATATATGGTCGGGGCCAGGGCGTTCTCCCCACGTTTTTTTTTCTTCTGCGCCGCGGCGCGGCGAGGGGGCCGTCCGCACGCGCGCTCGGGCGGGCGGGGAGACGGCAGGCGCGAAGTGCCCGGCGGAGGGGGGGGGAAAGCGGCGGCCGCGGGCGCGGGGCGGGCCCATGGCGGGAGGGCGCGCACGTGGCGGAGGCCGCCGCGGAGCGGGGGCGGGGCCGTTCCCCCGACGCGGCCGCCGAAGCTGCGGCCGAGAGGAAGCGCCGCGCGCGGCGCGGGGGGCGGGGGGGCGGGGGAGGCGCGCCGGGAGGACTCTCTCGTGGCGACGGGGCCGTTTCCGAGGCGGCGCGGGAGGCGCCGAGGGCGGAACCTGCCCAGGCCGATCCCCGCCCCCGTGGGTTCTGATCGCCCGTGGGTCCTAGTCGCCCGTGGGTTCGCCCGCAAGCTCTAATCGCCCGCCGAATCGCCCGTGGGTCCTAGTCGCCCGCTGCATCGCCCGTTGGTTCCAATCGCCGCGTCTTTGCCTATCGTCCGCTCCCAGGTCATGTCATCCTTCTGCTCAAGCAGCCTGAACGGCGTCCGTTGATGGCCTGGGGCTTGGTAAGAAGTGGAGCCACTTCCCGAGATGCTACGCCGAGGGCGATGACCTCCACATCCTCCTGCTGCTGCCTCCCTCCCTCAAACCCCCCCCCTTCCTCCTGCACAGTCTGAGCCAATGACCACTTCTTCTTTGACGAAGACCAGGTCTTCTTCCAATTCGTGTAGACGTACCCCGAGTAGCAGTCGAAGGGGTCCGATCGGTCCCCCGAGTGCGACCTGCGGCCGACCCGGGAGGAGACGCTGAGGCAAAGGGAGCGACCAGCGCTCACGCCCAGCGCGTGGCGTGCCCCCCGCCCCTCCCTCCTCCCCCTCCCTCCTCCCCCCCCCTCCCCCTCCCCCTCCCCCTCCCCCCCCCCATCCTCCCCCTCCTCCCCCTCCTCCCCCTCCTCCCCTCCTCCCCCTCCTCCCCCTCCTCCCCCTCCTCCCCTTCCTCCCCCTCCTCCCCCTCCTCATCTCTCCTCCTCTCCTCCTCCTCCTCCTCCTCCTCCTCCTCCTCCTCCTCCTCCTCCTCCTCCTCATCCTCATCCTCCCTCCTCCTCCCTCCTCCTCCCTCCTCCTCCCCCCCCATCCCTGGGGATGATCCGACGTGCTCTTGTCCAGAAGAGGGGCCCACGAGCGGCGACCGTGCCCATATCCGCGCCGCGCCCTCGCGAGCTGGACTCTTCGGCGGCGAGCCTGGGGGGGGGGAAGCGAGAAGGGGCGGGCCTTTTCAGAAGGCTCCAGACTGTAACAACAACAAAATCACGCGAGCTGGAACAAGACTGATCATCAGCGGAGGCGCCAGTGCCCCAGGGGGCCAACGGTGCGTCAGCTCTGAGCCCGCACGGGAACGGGAAGAGCGCGAAAGGGTCAGGCGAGAGGGCATCATGCGACTTCCCTCACGTAAACGCGTTTCGCGTCATCCTCTGGTCAGCCATGTTGATTTCGGCGGCGAGCCTGGGGGGAAGCGAGAAGGGGCGGGCCTTCTCGGAAGGCTCGGAGGTCCCCCGGCCTTCCGAGAGGCTTTCTGTGTCCCTCTCGCCGCCTTCCGAGCGCGGGCCCTCTCCTTCTCACTCTTCCCCCCCCCCTCGCTCGCCGCCGCATTCTCGGGCGCGACCTCGCGGATGCGCGGCTGGACGGAGGCGCTCTGCGCGGGCCATCCACGCACAGAACCAGCCCGCCTCCGCGGGGTCGCCGCCCAGGGGGCCGGCGCGCGAGGCCGCGGGCACGGAGGCGCTCGTCGCCCACGAGCGGCGCCGGTCGTCGGCCGAGGCCGGAGGGAAGACAAGAGAAGCACCCCCGTCATGGGCAGCCCGACGAGCGGAGCCGGTCGGCGAAGGCACCCAGGAGAGGGATCGAACATCGACGAGCGCGTTCCACGACTCGCAAAGAAGCTTCTCGCGAATCGCCTGGATCCGCCGCGGGGGATCTACGATACATCACATCGAAGCAGACATGTGCTTATTGGGCGTTTGCGAGGAGTGGAGCGCGCCCGGTGAGAACAGGGCCGGGCTGTTCCGCAAGCGCCCAGTGCTGCTTGGTAAGCGCCGACTGCGGGGGTCGGGACGCTGCGTCCTCCCCGGAGTGGAGGGGCTGGGCGTGAGGCCGCAGCCCCAGGACGGGGCCCCCCAGAGGAGCGGGGATCCTCCTCCTGGGCTACCGAGGGCCATAAAAGGCACGCACACACACACACACACACAAAACAAAAAAACAGCACAAAAAAAATGTGTTTTGTCCTATGGCCACGGGTGGGCATCAAAAAACGTGTGATGCTCCATGCTGTTGTTGATTTTCGGGCCGCCAGTAGCCAAAAAAACGTGGCATCAAAAACGTGTGATGTATTGCAGGTTCGCGTCGTGTCGACCCCAGCGTTGATTCCTGACACTGCGGGGATCGTTCAAATTTGAAACATCCACCCTTTCAAAAAGACCGGTTCAAGGATTGGCCGATTCTGGGCCACAAGAGGCGTTCAACCTTACACGCCCGCGCTGGGGTCGCCGCTGGTCGACACAACGCGAACCTACTGTACACAGTCGGACTTGATTGGAGACGACACTCGAGAGGACACAAAACACTTCCGAGGGCCACGTTGCCATAGGAATACCGAACGCATGGGTCGCGAAACGCAGGACACACAAGGGTACCCTCGCTTTGGCAGGGTCCACCTACTGATCAGGGCCGACGGTGAACCTTTCCCCCTATTGCCAAGGCGGCTGGGAAGCTTAAACCCCGACGTGCCTTCGTAGGGTATGAGCTGTCCGGCCGCCCGACGCGGGCCCCCACTGGCGGAAAAGTCTGTTCTGCACTGGGCTTCGCCCTTGCAAGGTACAGCCGCTCCCAGGGGCAGACGTCCCCGTGCCAGAGGGCTCCAACCCCCCACGCTGCCCATCGCTCGCCAGCTGCTGCTCAGGGCAAGAAAGCCTTACCCGGAGGACCACGACGGTTCGTCTCCACCCGGCTCGTCTCCACCCGACGGCTCGTCTCCGCAGCCAATGCCGGCGTAGGAGCAGCAGTAGCTCTGCTTGTCGACGGCCCACTCCTAGGGCCACTCTGCAACAAGCACAGACTGCAACAACAACAACAACAACAACAACAACAACAACAACAACAACAACAACAACAACAGCAGCAACGACAACAACAATAACAAGAACAAGAACAAGAACAACAACAAGAACAACAACAGCAACAACAACAACAACAGCAGCAGCAACAACAACAACGACGACGACGACGACGACGATAACAACAACAACAACAACAACAACAACCACAACAACAACAGCAACAACAACAACAACAGCAACAGTAAGTTTAAGACTGTTCGCCCTTATATGCTCGAGTGTCCAATAACGCGTGTTTCCCAAACCCTCGATACCCGCCCTCTTTGTCTTCGATCGAACCCCTTTTGGGGGGTATACCTTTCTTCTCCGCAGGCCGGGCCCCGGCAAGCGGCGGGGCGGCCGCGGACCGTCGGCCTGGCCAGCGGCAGCGCTGATCGGCGTGGCGGCCGCGGACCGTCGACCTGACCCCAAGAGGGACGGACAGGGGACCGACCACGACGACGACGACGACGACGTCGAAAACGACGGCGACGACGACGACGACGACGACGGCGACGACGAGCGAAAGCGAGAGCGAGAGAGAACGACAGCAGGGCCACGAAGGGCACGAAGTAGGCCACGAAGGGCGACAGCGGGGACACGAAGGGAATGCGTATGGGGCCACGAAGAGCGCGAACGAGCGGGGGCCACGAAGTGCAGATAATGCGGGGCCACAGAAGGCAACTATGGGGCCACTGAGGGTAGCAACTGGGCCACGTAGGACAGTGAGGGGGACACAAATGGCGACAGCGGGGCCACGAAGGGCATGCACATGGGGCCACAACGGGCGCGACTCATGGGTGCCTGGGTGTCGGGAGCGCGGCGCTTGGGCAAATTGCAGAAAATTCCAACGCGAGGCCATTCTTCAGTAAGTTGCAACCAAGTCTCCAGCACGAGCGCGACTCCAGAGCGCCGGGAGAGCGAATCCTTCATAAATTGTAAGGAAGTCCCAAGCGAGAGCGCGATTCCTGAATAAAATGCCAGGAAATCTCGCGCGGGAGCGGGGGTCCTGGCTAAATTGTAAGGAAATCTCAAGCGGGAGCCGTTGTTGTTGTAACCCGGGGGCCAGGGGCCCAGTCTGAGCAGGAAGACTTTCCCTGTCAAAAAACAAAGTGCGAGCGTCGAGGGGCACACTTTGATTGAGGAAAAACAATATGCACCGGTGGGGGGATCAACAATAACTATTCTTCAGAAATGAGTATTCAACAACAACAGCAACAATAACAACAATAACAACAACATCAGCAACAACAACAACAACAAACACCATCACCATCACCACCACCACCACCACAACCACAACCACAACCACAACAACAACAACAACAACAACAACAACAACAACAACAACAACAACAACAACAACAACAACAACAACAACCATCATCACCACAACGACAACCACAACAACAACAACAACAACAACAACAACAACAACAACAACAACAACAACAAGAACAACAGCATCAACAACAACCACAACAACAGCAACAGCATCAGCAACAGCAACAGCAACGGCAACAACAACAACAACAACAACAAACACCATCACCATCACCACCACCACCACCACAACCACAACCACAACCACAACCACAACCACAACCACAACCACAACAACAACAACAACAACAAAAAGATCACGCGAGCTGCGGAGGCGCCAATGTCCCAGGGGGCCAACGGTGCGTCAGCTCTGAGCCCGCACGGGAACGGGAAGAGCGCGAAAGGGTCAGGCGAGAGGGCATCATGCGATTTCCCTCACGTAAACGCGTTTCCCGTCATCCTCTGGTCAGGCATGTTGATTTCGGCGGCGAGCCTGGGGGGGAAGCAAGAGGGAGCGGGCCTTCTCAGAAGGCTCGGAGGCCCCCCGGCCTTCTGAGAAGTGTTCTAAGCATTCTCCGAGGACACAGAAAGCCTCTCGGAAGGCCCGAGGGATTCTGAGAAGCCCCGCCGCCTTCTGAGAAGGCATTCTCCTTCTCACGTCCCCCCCTCGCTCGCCGCCGAGCTACTTCCCTGGCTCAAATGCGTCCCCCGTCATCCTCCAGTCAGTCATGTTGATCTCTGTGGATGCCCTGTTGCTGAATGTTGCGCGCGGGGGGTAGTGCCAGGGGGCGCCGCCAGAGAAGCCAAGAGCCAAGGAGGAGCGACGACCCGCAACGCGGGAGCAGCCCTCAAAGCGGAACCCGCAGATGGCCCAATATCGGGGGCGTTCAAGGGGGGGCGTCCTAGATGGGGGGGTGCAAATCATGGCCCGAGGCATGTGCGCGGACCAGGGAGGCCAGGGAACGCACTGAAATCAGAAGAAGGCCCATGAAATCTGGGGAGATATCCTGGCCCTGCCAGGATATCCCCCTCCCTAGTCATCACCCCCCTCTTTGTCGCCCCCGACATGAGATACCAACGTACCTGCAAGAGCAGCCAAGACGCTCCGAGATGTCCCCACATAGCCGTAAGACGCTTCCAAAGGTCACGCCAGCATGGCACCGGATTTTCCGAGGTGGCCCGGGTTATCTCAAGCTTAAGTCTGCATACGGCTACCAGGTGGACACCGAGAAGCCCAAGAGCGACTCAAGATTACTCGAAGGTGGCTTGGGACGAACTTCCCACGGCGGTCCTCGAGATGACAGAAAGCAAGAAATCAAAGGTTAGGTCGGGCATGTCCCCCTACAGGCGGATTCGGGGCGAAAGAAAATTAACCGACCCTGTCGGCGTGTGTGAGGGGCTTGTCCGTTCAAGTCGTCATCTCCGTCATTTGTTGGTCGTCGTCTCTGTCGTCCCCTTTCCCTGCCTCCCCCTTTTCCTGGGCTCGTCGAAGCTCCCCCCTTTCCCAGGGACCTCCTCAGCGCGCCAGTCAAAGCGAAGTTGAGCAACGTCGTAGTTGAGTCGAAGGGAAGCCCCTTCCCTTCGATCCCTCCCCCGCCGAGGTGGGGGGGGAAAGGGGTCCCGGGGGGGGGGTCAGATACCCCGGGGAGTCCCGGAGCCCAAAAAAGCCCTCAAACGGGCCAAGAGTGCCCCAAGAGACCCCAAAGACAGTCCAAGAGAACCCCGAATCGCTGCAAGAGAACCCCGAATCGCTGAACGATCTGTCCAAGACGCCTTGACGGCCTCCAGACGGCCCAAGAGGCCTTCAAAGCGCCCCAAGAGGCCTCCAGGAGCTTCCCCACGGGAGCCCCAAGAGGCAAAATTAATGGAGTTCCCATACGTTTTTACAGATTGTGGCGTTCTTGCCTCTTTCGCTTCCCGACGCGCCAAGACGGCCCAAGAGGCCCCCAAAATCGCCCCAAGACGGCCCAAGAGGCCCCCAAGAGGGTCCCCTAACGGCCGAAAAGGGCCCCAAGACGGCCCAAGACGCCTCCAAGACGGCCCAAGAGGCCCCCAAGACAGCTCCAGGAGAGTGCCCAGACGGGGGACCCGAACGGACATTTCGAGCCTTCGGCCCCAAGAGGCTCACAGGAGGCCCCAAGAGGTTCCCCAGAGGCCCCAAGAGGCCCGAGGTCCCCAGGAAGCCCGAAGAGGCCCCCAAGAGGCTCCCAAGAGGCCCCCAAGAGTCTACCAAGAAGCCCCACAATTCCTACATTTTCCTACCCAGAGGCCCCCGAGAGACTTCCGAAGAGATCCCAAGAACCAGCCCTGAGGATTCTAGCCCACGTCAGCGTCGTCGTCGTCGTTGCCGCCGCCGCCGCCGCCGCCGCCGCCGTCGTCGTCGTCGTCGTCGTCGTCGTCGTCGTCGTCGTCGTCGTCGTCGTCGTCGTCGTTCTCATCTCCCTTCAGGGTCGGCGGCACTGGCCGTAAGGCCTTCGCAATACTCAAAAAATACCCTTAAATGGCCCCAAAAAAAACATCAAAAAAGCGTCCCCTGATTATTTTTGCTATTCTTGAATATTCCCCCTGCAGAGGGACACGCCCGACTTGAAGCAAGAAAACAAAGGTGTTCCGAGGTCAGGCCGAGGTGGGCCCGTCTTAAAGGCCAGCTGGGGGTCACCTGGGGCCACCTCGGGGCCACCTCGGGGCCCTCCCGAGCACCACGCGGGCCCGCTGGTGGCATCCTGTGCGAGCCCGCCGGGTCCTCCTGGAGGGCCGCGCAGACCCTGCGGGACCCAGCTTCACCAAGACAGAGCGCGAGGCGGGCCCCAAGAATATGCACCACCACCACCTCCACGCCTCCTCCCTCCTCCAAGTTCCTCTTCCCCTCCCCTCTTTCCTGGGAGAGGGAGGGGGTGGGGGAGGTGGTGGTCGTGAATGTGTTTGGGCCCCGCGCGCGAGGAATACCAAAACATGGAAAATTCTTGAGAGGATGTCTGGCGATTCCCTAACAGCGGTCGTTATGGATCTCCAGGGGTGGACAGATATGATAATGGCACCACAGAGTCCCTCCTTGGAGGGTCACCAGCTCCCGTCTTGGCGACCCAGTGCAGATCCGTCTCTGTCAGCCAGAGCGCGCCCGCTCGAGGATGGCGCATCCTTGGAGGGTCACGAAACCCATGGCATTCACAATGTGCCCGCTCGAAGATGGTGCGTCCTTGGGAGGTCGCCGGCTCACGTCTTGGTGATCTGGCCCGAATCCGCCAGCCCATGGCATTCAGAACGTGCCCGCTGGAAGATGGTGCCTCCTGGAGAGGTCACCGATTCACGTCTTGGGGATCTCAGGCGGATCGGTCCCTGGCATCCACAGAGGGACCGCTCGAGAACGGTGCACGAGGGCAAGATTTAGGTCGGGCGTGTCCCCCTGCAGGCGAGTTTTGGGCAAAAACTTAAGCATACTCCAAAAATACCCTCAGACAGTCAAAAAGTGATCAACAAATAGTCCCCAGATCATTTTTTTTACTATTCTTGAGCATTCCCCCCGTAGAGGGACGGGCCCGACTTCAGGCAAGGCGGTGCGTCCCTGGACCGTTCCAGGCGCACTCCGTGCACGCCCGCCCGAGGAGGGCGCGCCCCAGGCCCGCGGGAAGAGGGCAGGGGGGGAGAGAGCACAAGAAGGCGAGGAGACGCCGGGGGCCCAGCGCAGCCCCCAGGGGGACACTGAAGGGGTGCTGGGACACACGAATAAACAGACACCAAGCTGACAGGATTCCGCACACCTTCCCATGTCTTCTGGGCTTTTGTCTTCCCCCCCCCCCCCGCTTCCCATGTTTTCCCACACTTTCGGAGGCATCGACGATCCATTGTGTCGGTGTGTGTCTTTTCCCCTCCCGAGACTCGCCTCAGCCCCTGGCCTTGGGAGCGGCACGGCGTGCGCTCGTCAGGGCGTCGCGACGGAGAGGCGAAGAGGCGGGCTGCGGTCCTTGGTGTTGCCGATTCCGTCCGCACAGTCGAAGGTGGCGTTGGCCTGCACGGGCGAGGGAATGCCACCGGGCAGCGGCGCAGAGCGTCAGCGCTCGACCGCCGGACGGCGGCCGTCCGCGGAACCTGGCCGACACCGTGGCCCCACCGACCCCCCGTTGCTCCGCAGCGCTCCCTCCCGGCACCGGTCTCCTGCAGGCGCTGCACTGGGCACACTCTGCGCTGCGCGCGCCCATCCCCTTCGGCGAGACGGCCTCGCAGAGATGGCGTTTCTCTCCCTCTCTCGCTACTGTTGTTTCTCTTTTTTTCTCTCTCTCTCTCTCTCTCACTCTACATCACACACTCTGCTCTCACTCTACATCACACACTCTGTGTTTCTCTCTTCCTCTCTCTCCTTCTCTCTCCTTCCCTCTCTCCCCCCCTCTCTCTCTCTCTCTCTCGCTCTCTCTTTCACTCTCTCTCCATCTCCTGGCACGAGCTCCGGCTCGCTCCCTCCCCGCCACGGGCCTTGGGGCGCGAACCCTCGCCGCACGCCTTGCTCTCGTACTGGCAGCACCAGACCTTCTTGCCTGCACGCGACGGGGGGGGCGGATCACGCCGAGAGAACGCTGGCAAGATCATCGAATCCTGTGTAAGCTTAGGTCGGGCATGTCCCCCCACGGGCGGATTTGGGAGGAAAAATTGAAACAGTCAAAAGTCAAAGTCAAAATCCGCCGACCCTGTCGGCGTGTGGGAGAGGCTTTCCCGTCTTCCCCACAGAGACGTCGCCCATTCTGCTTTCCGAGGGCTCCCTACACAAGTCCACACAAAAATTGAACAACGTCGTCCTTCAGTCGAAGGGACGCCCCTTCCCTTGATCCCTTCCCCGCCAGGGGGGGGGGTCCGGGAGGAGCTCCCGGGGGGGGTCCCCCCTACTCCGAGGGGGGGTCCCCCCTCGGATACGCAGCCCCCCGCCTCTCATCCTCCTGCGTCCTGGGGCTCCGTTGGCCCTCCGGGGCCGTCTGCGGGCCCTTTCAGCCTATCTTAAGGCTCCGTGGAGACCTTTCGCCATTTTTAGACTCTCTTGGCAGCCTCTGGCGGCACTCTTGGCAGCCTCTGCGGGCGCTTTTGGACCTCGCTTGACGCCGTCGCGGAACCCTCTCGGGCCACTTGAGGGCGCTCTTTGCCTATCTTGGCATTCTCTGGAGCCGTTCCCGAACCCTGGAGGAGGCCTCTTGAGCTGTCTTCGGACGACCTTGCAGGCATCTGGCGCCGTCTTCGAGCCATCTGAGGGCACCTTGGACTCCTCTACCTCCATTGTCTTCGTCGTCGCCGTCTGCAGGGTGGGCGGCATCGGCCGTAAGGCCTTCGCAATAATCGAAAATAGCCCAAAGATAAACAACTAATCGAGATCGTCCCCTGACCTGTTTTGACTATGTTTGAATAGTCATCCTGTAGTGGGGCAGGCCCGACTTCAGTGTAAGCGTAAGTCCTCCCTCTCCCACCCTCTTCCTGGAATGGGTTGATCTCAGCAACGAATGTAGCTGTGCCGATGTGTCCGGGCTCTTTTCAGGTTCTCTTTCTTCCACGCAAAACACCACGACTGACACAACCACATCGCGAATCAAACGGTCGCTGAGCAAACCATGAACACCGCATAGGCCGAGCTGCAACAGGCCAACTCGTGCTATGAACCGTGGCCTGAACAGCAAATCAGCAGTGCAGTTCCGACAAAAAAGAGGAGGATGGAGGAGGACGAAGGAAGGGGAGGAGGACGAGGACCAAGAGGAGGGAGCTCTCTTCACTTGTTCGATCTCTGGGGTCGCTCTGGAGCGCTGCGGCAGCAGGGCAAACAAGCACCGAGTGTCTGGTATAGGAGGGATGCTCCCCAGCTCGCGGGACCGCCCTCGTGCCACGAGCGCGACCGCCGCGCGCCCTTTCTTGTGCGCACGCGTCTTCGCTTCGCCCCGTCGCCTCCCGATGCTGCAGCCGCCACCTCAGCATGCCTGGGCTGGGGGCCCTCCTGGGGCCACTCGCTCCACTCGTGCGTCGATGCCGCCTCGAGCGCCCGTCGACTCGAGTCCAACTCGGGTCGAACCCGAGCCGAGCTGCCGAGCCCGAGTCGAACTCCCGCCGACTCCGAGCCGACGCGGAGCGGTGCCCGCGCCCTCGGGGCCCGGCCTGCGGAGGGTAGCGTGCACACCGCTCCCGGGCCCAGGATGGGCCTGGCCGGGGCCTGTGTCTGGAGGTCGGAAAAATGGGTGTGGCACCAAGGGGTGATTATGGTGCCCATCGCGCAGATGGCGCTGCTGTCCGCGAGGAAGCACAGCGCCAGATTCCCCTTCACACAGAATCAGCACCACACCCCTTTATACCTATACGACCACCCTGCGGATGATAAGGAGGTTGGGGGGGGAGGGGCCCAGCAATGGGCAACAGTGGAGATTGCTGTTCTCACTATCGATCTCACTATCGATCTCATTCGATCGATCTCACAATCGATCTGACGATCTCCGACCTCCGACCATACCCATTTCCCACCTCCAGATGGTGGAGAGGTGCAGAGCTTGTCGCCCTGCGTCGCCAGGGGGGGCATCCCCGGGCGGCCCAGGCACACTGCGCCGCCCGGTCAGTCGGCCCGGGCGGCCCAGGCACACTACGCAGCCCAGTCGGTCGGCGGCCGCCGCGGGCGACGGGCCCGTGCCCACCTGGCGTTAGGTCGGGCATGTCCTCCCGCAGGCGGATGTTGAAGGAACTATAAAAAATAGTTTGAAAAAATAGAAAAATGTGTTTGGCGTGAAAACAAACACACGAAAAATCGTCACCAGACTATTTTTCTGCTATTCTTGAACATTCTTCCTGTAGGGGGACACATGCCTGACCTGAACCTGGCGCCTCGAGGCAGATCGAGGCGGCTGGCGCCTGTCGCCATCTGAGGCCTATGGGAGGCCAGCACTGGGCCGTCGATACGAAAAATCGGCTCGGGAAGAAGCACCAGCCTTCGGGAAGGGGTCGAGGGGACGGGGGACCCAGGCATCGAAAAGATCGGAGCGCCGGATGTCCAGGAGCATATCCACAACGAAGGGACGCACAGGGACGCACTGGTACTGCGTGTCCTCCTTGGAAGCGTGCGTCCGACCCGAAGCTATGGTGGCGCCACCTTGTAGCACACCGCTTCCCGAGCGGTGCGGCCAGAAGGCGCCCGCCGCCGCGGACGTGCTGCGAGATCTCTCGGCGGGCGCGCCGCCCCTGGGGGGGGCGACGCACACGTTACGCATACGCATTCGACGATGGACCCCTTGTTACCCACCAGCCCTGGGCAGTCTTCGGCGGTCGTCTGGCGGTATTCTGGCGGTCTTCGGCGGTTTTCGGCGGTGTTCTGACAGCCGTCGGCGGTGCCTTCGTTGGTCTCGGGCGGCTTTCGGCGCGAGAGCTGGATGCTTGCGGTTGGCCAGGGGTCCATGATCGAACACCGACGAGCACATTCTTTTATTCGCGGCCATAACGGGCGTTATGGGGGGGAAGGGGAGGGAAGGGAGGGCACAACGTAGCGCCCCCCCTGACTGTGGTGTCAGACGCACTGCGGCAGGGCCGGGGACGCACTGAGCCGGGGAGCGTTACGCTGTGGGGGGGGGGAACGGGAGGAGGGGAGGGGGTATAACTCGCCGCATCATGGCCCCGAGGATGACAAACAAACCAATGAACACACAACAACAACAACAACAACAACAACAACAACAACAACAACAACAACAACAGCAACGACAACAACAACAACAACAACAACAACAACAACAACAACAACAACAACAACAACAACAACAACAACAATTACAACAACAACAACAACAACAACAACAACAACAACAACAACAACAACAACAACAGCAGCAACAACAACAACGATCACAACAACAACAACAACAACCACAACAACAACAACAACAACAACAACTACTACAATAACAGCGAGAACAAAAACAACAACAATAACAACAACAACAACAACAACAACCACAACAACAACAACAGCAGCAGCAGCAACCACCACCACCACCACCAACAGCAACAACAATAGCAACAACAACCACAGCCACAACCACAACAACAACAGCAGCACCAGAAACAACAACAACAACAACAACAACAACAACAACAACAGCAGCAACAGCAACAGCAACAGCAACAACAACAAAAACAACAACAACAACAACAATCAGCTTACCCTCATGCGCGATGTGTCCACACGAAGCATGCGACCATCATGATAACCATCCCCATCATGGGGGACTATTGTTCCATAGCGGGGTCCGTTATTCCCATTCCCAGATCTCCCGCCCAACGAAGTCCTGCCAACACCTCCTCCGAGGAATTTCAACATATCCCGCCTCGAAGACACATGCCCGCGCCTTGCTGCGCCGATGCGAGACCGCCAGTGGAGCCCTAGCCAAGGGTAAAGCACAAGGAACTATCGAGCGACAGGATTGCCTTGGTGGGAATGGGGGCTGTCGGCGGCGAGACAAAGACCTGGCCCTGAATAGAAAGGGAGGAAGTCTCTAGCAGGGCCGCTGTTATTGCTGGGAGCGGCGCCAATGCTGAAGAGAGTAGGGCGGTAGTCCAGCGTAAAACAAAACAAAGTCTCGAGCGGGAACGCTGGTTTTGTTGGGACGGTGGCTGTCGGCGGCGAGGAGGAACACCGCCTCGAGTAAGAACGGAGAATACCTCGAGCGGGAGCCGTGGTTTTGTCGGGACGGGGGCTGTCGGCGACGAGGAACATCACCGTCCTGAGGAAAAAGGAGAAGGCCTCGAGCGGGAGCGTTGCTCTTGCTGGGAGCGGCGCCAATTCAAAAAAGAGTAGGGCGCCAGTCCAGTGCAAAACGGGAGGAAGTATCTGGCGGGAACGCTGGTTTTGTCAGGTCGGCGGTTTTCGGCGGCGAGGAGGAGCACCGCCTTCAGCAAAAAAGAGAGACCGTCTCGAGCGGGAGCGTTGTTGTTGCGGGGGCGGTGCCGATGAGAGAAAAAGCAGCGCGCCAGTCCAAGGTAAAACGGGAGGAAGTCTCAAGCGGGAGCGCTGGTTTTGTTGGGTCGGCGGCTTTCGGCGGCGAGCAAGAGCACCGGCCCTGAGTTAAAAGGAGAAAGTCTCGAGCGGGAGCGTTGTTGTTGTTGGGGGGCCGGTTTTGGTGCCCCCCAAACCTCTCGAGAGTGAGCCTCATTTTCAATGAAAATGTAGCCGGCGCCGAGGCGAGAGCGCCAGGGCGCCTGGGGGAGGTCTAACAATAATAACTGTTTAAGAATTATTAACACAACAACCACAACAACAACAACAACAACAACAACAACAACAACAATCATTTTACCCGAACGCGTGGTGTTCTCCCCAGTGCCAGAGTTTTCATACGACACCAGGCAATACCCCCACTTCGTGGGGGGGCATTACAAGCTCTACCAAATATCCAAACGACTCTTCGCGACCACCCAAACCCAGCTTCCCGCCCTATGACGTTGGGACACTTCACTTCGTGGCGTGCGGACGACCGTGGCTACTACACTGGCGTGGGGTACACACCCACAGAACTTGGTCACTTATTCGGGGCGCGCATGTGCCCAGCATGGTGCAATTGTGCCATACAATACATAATACAGAGAGACAGAGAGAGAGACAGAGAGCAGACAGAGAGAGAGAGACAGAGAGAGCGGAGTTGGTCACATTTTTGGGTCAAGTTCCTGGGATGATGGGAATACACAATGATGGGATGTTTTTCGAGGACCTGCGGTGCGATTCGTGTGATTTTATGATGCGCGGTGCTAAAATTCTTAAGAACCCAATGGTTTTTGGAGATTTCGGCGTGCGCGCGCAAAAAACGAATGTGTCCCGCATGGTATTATTTGACAGGGATGATGGCCCTGGCAGGTGCGCAACCGTTGTCGCAGAAGTTCGAAAAAGTTGCTCGCAAAAGCCCGTTTGACAGAAATGTTTAAAAAGTGTTGGGTTTCCTACGAATCCGCAAGAGCGCGCGGGATGAGATTTTGACATTTTTTTGTTGAAAAACCATTGGTTTTTTGATGTTTTTATGTTAAAATCGCTCCGAACACTAAGCTTTTGGAAGGATTTCGTCTTGCGCGCGCGAATGTCCACTTTACCTTATTTTTTGCAAGGGATTCTTGAAATTTGATTATATTAGAACAAGAAATGTCATTTTATAGTGTTTTTTGCAAGGGAAAGCGGGGGGGAACAAAACAACCGGATCTTGATCACATCGAATTACCTGAGGCTTCCTCACGAAAATGATGAAAATGTAGCTGCGGCCTAGGCGGCGCAGGGGGGCCGTGCACCAGGGGGTCCCAACAATAATTATTCTTTAGAATTAATAATGTTCAACAACAACAACAACAACAACAATTACTAGCACGTGGGGACACTCCGTTCTCACCAGTGCCAGGGTTTTCATAGGAGGCGGGCAATACCCCCACTTTGTGGGGGGGCCGGTTCAAGCTCTACCAAATTTCCAAACGACTCTTCGCCACCACCCACACCCAGCTTCCCGCCCTATGACGTTCGGACACTTCACTTCGTGGCATGCGGACGACCGTGGCTACTATTCAGGGCCCCGCGGCCGACGACGACGGCGTGCGCGCGCGAAGAAAAAACGAATGTGTCCCGCATGGTATTATTTGACAGGGATGATGGCCCTGGCAGGTGCGCAACCGTTGTTGCAGAAGTTCGAAAAAGTTGCTCGCAAAAGCCCGTTTGACAGAAATGTTTAAAAAGTGTTGGGTTTCCTACGAATCCGCAAGAGCGCGCGGGATGAAATTTTGACATTTTTTTTTGAAAAACCATTGGTTTTTTGATGTTTTTATGTTAAAATCGCTACGAAAACTAAGGTTTTGGAAGGATTTCGTCTTGCGCGCGCGAATGTCCACTTTACCTTATTTTTTTGCAAGGGATTCTTGAAGTTTGGTTATGTTAGAACAAGAAATGTCATTTTATATTGTTTTTTGCAAGGGAAAGCGGGGGACAACAAAACAACCGGATCTGGACCACATCGTTTTGCCTGAGGCTTCCTCACGAAAATGATGAAAATGTGGCTGCGGCCTAGGCGCGGCGGGGGGGCGCGCACCAGGGGTCCCAACAATAATTATTCTTTAGAATTAATAATGTTCAACAACAACAACAACAACAACAACAATTACTAGCACGTGGGGACACTCCGTTCTCACCAGTGCCAGGGTTTTCATAGGAGGCGGGCAATACCCCCACTTTGTGGGGGGGCCGGTTCAAGCTCTACCAAATTTCCAAACGACTCTTCGCCACCACCCACACCCAGCTTCCCGCCCTATGACGTTCGGACACTTCACTTCGTGGCATGCGGACGACCGTGGCTACTATTCAGGGCCCCGCGGCCGACGACGACGGCGTGCGCGCGCGAAGAAAAAACGAATGTGTCCCGCATGGTATTATTTGACAGGGATGATGGCCCTGGCAGGTGCGCAACCGTTGTTGCAGAAGTTCGAAAAAGTTGCTCGCAAAAGCCCGTTTGACAGAAATGTTTAAAAAGTGTTGGGTTTCCTACGAATCCGCAAGAGCGCGCGGGATGAAATTTCGACAATTTGTTTTTGAAAAACCATTGGTTTTTTGATGTTTTTATGTTAAAATCGCTACGAAAACTAAGGTTTTGGAAGGATTTCGTCTTGCGCGCGCGAATGTCCACTTTACCTTATGTTTTGCAAGGGATTCTTGAAGTTTGGATATGTTAGAACAAGAAATTTCATTTTATAGTGTTTTTTTTGCAAGGGAAAGCGAGGGACAACAAAACAACCGGATCTGGACCACATCGTTTTGCCTGAGGCTTCCTCACGAAAATTATGAAAATGAGGCTGCGGCCTAGGCGCGGCGGGGGGGTCGTGCACCAGGGGTCCCAACAATAATTATTCTTAAGAAGAAATAATGTTCAACCCGGCACGGAGGCCTCCCTGGGCACCAACCCGCTGGCCCCCCGGGCCCGCGACGGGCTCCGGGCCAGGGCCTGGCAGCACAGGCAGAGGCGCCTCCACTCGGCGGCGAGCGAGGGGGGGAAGCGAGGAGGAGAAGGGCCCCACTTTCGAACGCCGCCGCCGACTCTCCTAGAAGCCCTCGACCTGCCCCCGGCACGGAGGCCTCCCTGGCCCCAGTGGCCCGGCGACAGGCTCCAGACCGTGGCCCGGCAGCACAGACAGAGGCCGCCTCCGCTCGGCGGCGGGCCTCCTCAGGAGGCGGCGGGCCTTCTCGGAAGCCCTCGGACCCTCTGAGAGGTCATCCGCGTCCTCGGGGAAGGGTTAGAACACTTCTCAAAGACTGGGGGACTTCCGAGCCTTCTGAGAAGGTCCTCCCCTTCTCACTCCCCCCCAGGGCTCACCGCCGAAGGATATAAAACGTACAAAGGCACACTCACGAATGTCGAAGCACCGAGATCCAGAGAGCTGGACACTCAGAATATCCGGAGCTTCTGAAAGTCTGCAGGGGCGGCTTCCGAGATTCAAGCATAGTAGGTCTACGTACAAGAATTCGGGGAGCACGAATCCGGAGTAAGGGAGTTCAAACATAATGAGGCGAGAGGGGGGGAATAGAGAGGGAGAGAGCGCGCGCGCGCGTAACACACATATTGAAACAGGACAGGGAAAACGGCCAGCAAGCAAGGCGTTTCGAAGCCTCTCGCCCTGTCGCCCTCGCGCAGTACAACCCCACGCAGTGTTAAGTCGGGCGCGTCCCCCTGCAGGGGAATCTTCGACGAAGAATAGAAAATACTCAAAACATATCCAAAAGATGCCCAAGAATATTCAAAAAATAGTTCCCAGACTATTTTCTTACTATTTTTGAACAGTCACCCCGTAGAGGGACAGGCCCGACTTACACGTAGTGTCCCCCGCCCCCGCGGGGTGCCTCGGGGAGCGCGGATGGCTTCGTGGGGCGCTCTCCGAGGGCGCCTCGAGCGCGACGGGCCCTGCACAGTCCCCGAGCCTCGCGCTCGCTCTCGCACTGCCTCGCGCCATTCCGCGGTGCAGGGTTCTCGAAGAGTTCACAGAATGCTCCTCCTCCTCCTCCTCCTCCTCCTCCTCCTCGTCCTCCTCCTCCTCCTCCTCCTCCTCCTCCTCCTCCTCCGCCTGCTCCTCCTCCTCCTCCTCCTGCTCATTCTCCTCCCCTGCAATCGAGGGATCGAGGGACCGATCGATCGAGAATCGAGGATCGGCGGAGGACCGAGGATCGAGGGCGGAAAAACGGCACAACACACAACTTGTTGGAGCTCCGCGCGTATTTCTTGGGACTGCGCTGGGCCCCTCCCCCTCGCGCACGGAGCGCGCCAGGGGCGGGGCCCGAGGCGCCGCCAGGGGGGTCCAGCGCCGACACGAGGAAATCCGCGCAGACCTCTGGCAGATCGTGCTCGTGCAGGCGCGCCTCCTCCGAGCACGGGGGGGGGCGGGGGCCTTCGGACCAGCCGGCCTTCCAGTTGTCGAAGCCCGCCTCGCAGTCGTAGGGCTCGGAGCCCGTTTGCTCCTCCCGTCGACTCCGAGGGGCATGGCTTGCAGAGGGCGTGGCTCGCAGCCGGCACTCTGGGGGGGCACCCCGGCGGGCGGGCGGGGGCCCCGACGGAGGGCTCGGCCGCAGTCCCCTGGGAGGCCCGACGAGGACAGCGTCGCGCCCCCCAGGCCCAGACGGCGCCGATCGCGAGCCACACCCTGGCGCAACCGCACCCCCTGTTGAGCATCGTTCCAGCGATCCCCATCCCCAGCGGCGTGGCCTGGGCCCCGCTGGCCGATCTGCCCCCCCCCAGATGGGGATGTAGGTCGCTCTCTTCGGGCTTCGAGGGATGCATCCCCAACTGGGGTAGTCATTTGGTGGGGGTCTCGAAGGGGGGGGAGATGGGGATGGGGACCGGTTAAACGACACCGATGTTTGAGCAGGGACCGACCGTCCTGGCATTCCTATAGGCCTACCACGAAAAATTCTTAGAACCCGAAGATGTTGAAAGAACAAACAATGTTCTTCGAACATAGACCCGATGTGTTCAAACAAGACAGTCCCCACCAGAAATGTCCTAAGCTGAGAACATCTCGTGGAAACCACAAAACATGTGCTTAGAACACTGTTTGGTAGGCCTATAGGCACGCCAGGACGCTTCGCCCCTGTTTCACCTGAACCTGCCTCCTCCTCCTCTTCGCCCTCCCCCTCCTCCTCCCCCTCCTCCTCCTCCTCCTCCTCCTCCTCCTCCTCCTCCTCGTCCACCTCCTCCTCCACTGCTTGAGATGTGGTCGCCGATCCTCGCACGCCTTGTGCTCGTGCCGGCAGCACCAGGCCTTCTTGCCTCCGGGCGGGGGGCGGGGGAGCGGCCGCACGCGCGCAGAGGCGCCGCGAGCCGCGCCGGGGAGGCAAGGGCGGCGCCCGCCCCCTGGCCCCGCGAGGGTCCCCCTGGCGACGCGCACGAGGGGAGCCCCGAGGGATCCATGAAAAGAATAGGGAGGGAACGATTCAAGGAGCCCAGGGACACACCAAGACCTCCTCCTCCCTCCTCCCTCCTCCTCCTCCTCCTCCTCCTCCTCCTCCTCCTCCTCCTCACCTCCTCCTCCTCCTCCTCCTCCTCCTCCTCCTCCTCTTCCACGGCCTCCGTCTCCGCCCACTTCGTCGCCGACGTCGTTGTCCTCTTCAGGGTCGGCGGCACCGGCCGTCAGGCCTTCGCAATAGGAAGAGAACGATTCAAGGAGCCCAGGGACACACCAAGAAATAGACACGAATCCCAGGATTCCCCACATATATTTCCAGATGTTCTTGGCTGTTTCTTACCCCCCACTGTCCATGTTTTCCTGGGAATCGACGATGGATTGTGTCTGTGTGTTTTTCCCCTCCTGAACAATGTCATGACAGGATTGGCTCGGGAAACGTTCCAGGACTTCCAGAGCATCCGGCGGCCCTCGGCTTCTGCCGCCCGTGTGGACGGCCAGGACATCTCAAAGGTCCTGGAAAAGCGTGAAATCCTGAAACGTGTCATTATCATGACCTCATGCCCCTCTGGAAGAATGCCACCCCGAGGATGGCCTAGGGCGTCTCTCCTGGAGCTCAGAACTGCAAGGCAGCTCCTGGGAGGTCACGAAGCCCGATTAAGCCCCATTCGAGCGAGAGCGTTTATGCCTGCTTAGGCCGCTAACCACGGATATAGCTCTCTCAGGCGCTCAGAATGCGGATGTCGTCTGAATGCCAGGATGGGGTACGAATGATCATGTGATTTACATACCGTACCCGCTCTTCCGTTGAGGCAGATTGCAGCCACGTGCTGTCATGGAGGCCGCCCCAAAATGCTACCCCGGAGTACGCCAGCTCAGCGTCGCGAAAACGTGGGCACTGGTTTCTGCCACCGCATGGATCGCGGCGACCGTCCACTAGCGCTGATCGTTCGATGCCAGCAAATTCCGGGCCGAAGGGGGCGTCAAACTTGAACGCCCGCGCCAGAGCTGCCGTCGCATCAGCGCGCCCTGCACAGAGTCGTGCCTCAGCGTCCAACGTTGGAAGCGGCCGTGGGGTCTGCGCTGGCTGGGCCGTGAGAAACTCGATCCAGAGGGGGGGGGCGAAGACGAATCCGCTCAGAATCGGTCCCCAGACCCTTCCCAGGATCGAGACCGACCAGTTTTTCGAGCCGCGTCCCCCCCTCATCCCTGCTGGCCAGGACCAGTGCTGGGCCACCTCCGCCCCCCAGGCGGCTCCAGGTCCAGCGTGCCTCTATCTCTCTCTGTTCTCTCTCTCTCTCTCTCTTGCTCGGCGCGTCCTGTACTCGGAGGGGCGGCGCCACCGGGCAGGGGCGTCTCGGCCTCGGGTACGGCCGCGCCGTGGACCCGAGCGCGCCGGCTCCGGGGACGCGCAGAATGAGCATCGAGAAACCGATCCCCGTCCCCGGTAGCGTGGCCTCGGCCCCACAGGCCGACTTGCCCCTCCAGGTGGGGGCATGCGCCTGTTCCTTCGAGTCGCGCGGGTCCTATCCCCACTCCAGGAGGGTTTGGCGGAGATCGGGGTAGGTGGGCCGATGTTGGCGAAGACCTGGGGGGTCTGACGTGCAGCTGTCTCGTTTTCTTTCTCTCTCTCTCTCTCTCTCGCGCTCTGGCTCGGCGGACGGAGTTCGGAGGCAACCTCTGGAGGGTCTTCGCAAGAACGGTCCGGGGCAAGCCCGATGAAGGGGCCACAAAGCCAGATCAGCCCACATTCAGCCGGAGTGAGCGGGATCCGGCGGAGCCAAACGGGATGATGCCGGATGGGGCAGGTTTCCGACCACGGATACACCAGCGCCGATGCTAAATCTAAGTCGGGCCTGTCCTCCTACAGGAGGATTTGCGGCGAAAAATGAAAATACCCAAAAAAATCT